AATTCAAATAAATTTAAAACGTGAGAAGTAATGGTATTTGATTGTATTTTCTTTTCATTTAATCATTATTCACTAATAAAAAGTTAAGAGAGATAAATTTTAAAATTTAAACTACAGATAGTTTGTAGATTTGAGACATTGAAAGTTGAGATATTAAAAAAAAATGTTTTTGATGAAACAATTTAAATCTAGCACTACTTTTGAATAATCCTTTAACACGATCATTTTTAATTTTTTTTCATTTAAACACATTTACAAGTAAAAACTGGGCAATTAAGTTGTGATTGCCTCTCTTAAATATGTTTTTGAGTTCTTATTAATATATTTGTTTATGGTTACAGAGAATGATCGAATTGCAAAGAAATTGAATGCTACAAGAAATAAAAAAAAATTAGTGAAAAATAAATCTNATAGATTTGTGAAATGATTTGAATTCTGAGGGTTCTACTTCTATTGTTACATGTTCTTTATATACTCATTTAATATGATATGGTTATTGCGCTATTTCCAGTAAAGCGAATATTTATTCCTAATGAAATTTTGGGTCGTAGCATTTGTTGATCAAGAGCCCACTCTAAAAAGTATCGTTTATGATTTAGCGTCTGCCCGAGAGACGTGGCTCATGGTACGGTTTTCAAACTGCGACTGTCGTTGCGGATTTTGTATAACACACTAGTTTTCCTCACTTTTTAAAATAACAGCTCATGGTCAGTTGTAGTGAATCTAGATTTCGTCATTTTCGATATTTTTCGATTGAATAAATTAATTTATACAAATATAATTTAAATTCGTTCAGAATAAAATCGCAATGCGATGCACGCAATACAAGAAATACATTGATTCCAGAGCACTACGATCATCAAACGCGAATATTGTTGACACGCACACGTCGATTACACAATGGAAACCATGATGAGGCATTTATTTTTAAACAATTCTGATAATTTTATGATATTGATTGGTATAAATAGTTTGTGTAGCCATTGAACTAGCCACAGATTATTATCCTTTTGTTACACATGGTTCCTTAGAGTGAAAGTTTTTCTGTTGTCAAATAAGACGGCCACTGCGTGTTGTTTATTATTTATTGTTTTGTTTTATGCTTATTTGGTCCACCACTTTGATCAGATTAAGAGTAGNTACCCCTTGTAATCTCGTTAATACATTATTCATTAACCTTTGAAAAGTACTAGGTCCTCCTTTTAATCCAAATGGTAATCTTAGAAATTTATAATGATTTACTCCTGTTGAAAATCCTGTTTTTTCTGTGTCTTTTTCGTCTAATTCGATTTGATGATAGCCTGATGCTAGATCGATTGTCGTAAAATACTTACATTTCCCTAGTTCATCTAAAATTTCTGTTATCTGAGGTAATGGAAATACATTCCCTACTGTTACTTCGTTTAATTTTCTAAAATCTACGCATACTCTATATTTTTTAATTCCAGATGCATCATCTTTTTTTGGTACCACTAATAACGGCGCATTCCATGCGGAACTACTTTTTACAATAATTTTACTGTCTTCCAACTCTTTTATTTGCTTCTCTATTTCTTCTTTTTGCATCCTGGGCAACCTATAAGGTTTTACATTTATCGACGCAATTCCCTCTGGAACTGGTATTGTATGTTTAATTGATTTTGTCGTTGACAACTTATCACCCTCCAAAAAAAATAAATCTGCGTATTTAAAACAAATTTCGTATATAGATTCTTTTTCTTCTGCATTTAAATGATCTACTCTTAATACGTCCAATAATAAATCAATCCTATTATTTTCGTTATTGCAAACTAATATTTGTTCACAATCTTCATATTCCTCGTAATCTAACTCACTTAATTTTAATTCATCTATTTCCTGCCATTTATCAGAGTTATTTAATATTATTCCTTTCACACTTTCGGTTTCTATACTGCCTATAACACTACCCATTAACACGTCCGTAGTAACGTGTCTACCTTGTATCATTAAACATTTACATTGTATTGGTTTATCTACCCATATAGGTACTATTGTTTGAGTTTGTGGTGGAATACTAATTCGATTATCCGGCACTATTAATACATCATTTTCTAAGTCAATGCACATTTTATAATCTTTTAGTAATTTCTTTCCTATTATCCCATCCGTATGAATCAGAAATTCATCTGATACTATTTCAAATAATGACGTTAATATTTTGCCATTTGTTTCTAAACTTAACGTTGTCTGCCCTAGTGTTAATACCGGTGTAGAATTTATTCCCCGTAACCTTACTTTTTTGCTTGGAAATATTCTTACCTCTCCTTTTAATTTTGAAAACTTAATTAAATTCAAATCTGCACCACTATCTACCAAAAATCTACCTATATCATGTTTTAAGAATGGAACTTTACAAGTCACGCAATCATCTTCTATTTCTACTATTGTTAATACCTGTGCTTGATATTCATTTACTGTTATTAACCCTGTTCCTGACGGACCGCTCCCATTATTTCCATTATTATTCCCATTTAATTGTCTACTCCTATTTTTTATTTTATAACAGTTTGCCATCACATGTCCCATTTTTTTACAATAATTGCATACTATTTTCGTCTTATTATCCCGTTCATTAGTACTTATATTCCTATTTACTTCTCCCTGATTATTACTTCTCCCTGCACTTATATTCTTACTATAGCATTGAAAACTTTTGTGTCCTATTTTATTACATTTGAAGCATTTAACACTAGATTTTGCCCCATTATTTTTATTTATAAATAATTTCTTATTATGCTCCTGTGCTATCATTGTCTTTTCTGCTTCCAATGCTGCCTGATAGGCTTCCCTCAATGTATTCTTATTCTGGGATTTCACCAACACATGATAAGGTATACGGTTCCCTTAAACCTGCCACAAATACTGTTAATGCCTGTCTTTTAATCATTTTATTAATAACTGCTTCTTCAGCTTTCCTTGTATTCTCCAATAACAGTGCTTCTATTAATTGAAAACAGAGCGCCTCCACTTTTTCATAGTATACTTTTATTCCTTCATTCGCTAATTGCATACACGCTGCTAACTCTAATTGTAATTGCCCTACTGTCTGCTGTACCCCAAAGTTTTCTACTAATACCTCTTTCAACTTCTCGTAATTATCAATATTTTTAAACCTAGTCACTTGACTCGCTCTCCCTGTTAATTTCGCTAATATCCCCTCTAATACCAATGGTTCAAACGTTTCTACTATATTATTTAGTACATATTCGCATGTTTTTAGAAAACTCATCAATTCTTTTTCTTCTCCCCCATATATTGGTATTGTTTTTATTCCTGTATCGTATGTCAGTTTTGGGCTTGACATTTTAACTTTATTTATTTCTTTTATTTCAAATAAATCTACTAAATTAACACTTTTGTCAGAATCGGTAATACTATCGCTATCACTAATACTAGACATGCAACCCTACTCACTGTAACTGCATATTCTGTTCGTTGCTTAGTTGACTGCTCCCACACCCAATACTTCTTTGCAATCTTCCCTGTTGGTGTCCTTTGATCCCAGTTTTTCTATCCTGCTGGCAATGACGTGTTCCGTTTGTCGCTTGTATACCGTTTCACCCAATACCATCTGAAATTGAACCGAACCAAGTTGAAACTGTTTCCTTCTGTATTGTCTTCTGATTGTCTGTGTGGTAATTATCCGCTCCTTGTTTGTTCGCATCAAAAAGATCACACTCACTGTACTACTACTGCAGTTATAATACAGTATGTGTTTCTCTTCTATTTTGAAGAGCACCGCTGCCACCAATTATGTTATGAGCCGAGTAGACTCAGAACGAGTTTTAAGGATTTGGATTTTAATTTAAGAAAATAAACACAATTGTTCTAGACTTAAAGTTTATATTTCGCACAGACATGACATATACATAAGTAGTTGTCTAACATTTGGTTATGACTGGTTGACTAGTGTCCCTCACGTGCTCTCTATATACCGCAAACGAGCCTTTAATTAAGACAATTACTATACTAAGTATTTATCTGTGCCACTTTTCCTTATTACAACTCCACTATTAATTAATTATTTATGACACAACTGATAATGTATAAAATGTAACTGAGGTTTTCTGAATACAAAAAGAATACTAATAACTACATTTTATTACACCTAAACCAGGTGGTCTTAACACTTTTAAGTTTTAATTGCTCCTAATACTATATAATTGGAAAATACCGATGATATCACTATTTACTATTAATACCGAATATTCAGTACATCATTGTTTATAGCACTAGGCGATAGATTATATCAATACCGTTCACAAGGAAATGTTGTAACCACAGTTTTGATCATACACTGACGTGTTCTTAGGCTCGTTGAAAACGGTAGAAGCCAAAGCTACATGGCATCATGACCAACGCGACAACAAAATATTCGCTGCCTTTGATGGCACTACTATAATTACTTTCTGAATGTGTCTAGTGTTTATTTTATTTCATCAATATAGCTGCATACTTTTAAAAGGTTGACTGCCAGGAGACCCTTCTGTGAGTAACACAATATTTGCAAAGTGTTTTGAGGTAGTTGATGATTTTGTTTATTTCTTTTTTTATCAGTGTGAAAATATTTATACAATTTTGTTGATAAAGAATTGATAGTAAAAATACTAACAACATGACCCATCAGTAGTATACGTTAAAAATGTATTATGTAACACACATATGAGTCTTAGAAAATAAACTGCATATCAACTTTGACCCATGTGTGTGTCACAAGACATTGTAGCATCTATGTAGGAATGGCTATGGCAGTCAACAATGTTAATATTGCATATTAGATATGGTAGCATAATTGTGTTTTTTTTTAATAAGTAAAAATTTATTTTAAAATGTATGCTTATTTGTTTATAGGTTATGAAATAAATAACGATAATATCATAAACACAAATCGTCGTCAATTAAAAACTACAGCTTCAGTTTCATTAACTGAAAATTTAAGACCTACCTTAAAGCTACAAGGTAAACCTGATACTTTAGATAGTTTTGATAGTAATGGTAACAATTAAGGTTTTATAGATGAGATACTATCAACAATTTGATACATTTTTAATAATTATTTTGTTATTTTTATAAATTATTAATAGATATCAATATTGATTATGAGAAAAACAACTCTAGTTCCTCTAGCTCTGATCTAGTGGAACACAATGTATTGGCACTAGAAGATTCCAATGATACCAAATGTAGTTCTGTTGATAATCAGTCAAGTACGATAATGATCTATTTTATAAGTATTTAATTTTTAAATAAGAAATCATTTTTAATTAACTTGTATTATGTGTTTTTTTATTTTTAATTTTGTGTGAATATTTGGTATATTAGAAATTTAGTCCAATTTAAAAAAAGACTAGCTTTTTTTTAGTATTTTGGAACTATTGTGTGTATTGACGTTTCTTTTTAACGTCTGCTCTTTTCATAGTTATTAGGAAATAATGAATTTGAAAAATTGACCCATTTTTATGACTAAAATCCCATCAATTAAAATTTTTTTTGAATATTTTATTTTTATATTTTAAACCTTGCCCACTATTTCAAAAAGGGATTAAGCAGGTTGTTTTAGAGTTATTTTATGTATGTTAATGGTTTCTTTTATAATTACTCCTGAAATTTTCATTAAACTTGCTGATATTTCATAGGAAATTATTTTATTCTTGTAGAATATATCAAATTTTTTTTTGAGTCGATTTTTGACTCTACTTGTGGGCCTTCTTCATTATTGAGAAAATCTGGAATTGCGACGCGATTGTGTGGATTGATGTTTGATTGAGGTAACTGTAGGCGGAAGTATATGGTTATTACCAGGTGATATGAAAGTTTGTGGTTTATATCAGTATTGCGAGATAAGGCAATATCATGACCAACAATTTTACAACTTCCAAATTAAAATTAATCTAAAACAAAAGCATGATAATATTAAATATTGTAATATTTTTGGAACGGCATGTTATTCTTAGACCGAAAACATCACTAGCTCATTGAAATGACCAGGCTCCTAGAACATATTTGAATGAATACTCGTTTGTCCAAGAATCGGAGCAACTGTACGATTAACAATGTAAAGATTGCAGTGATGGGAACCTAATTTGTTGTTTGATTAGTACTGGAAAGTAAACCCATTGTGTTTGAGGAATCTAAAACGATGATACACAAGGTAGTTTCGTGAACAATAACGTTGATAACGATAATAAACCTATCACACCTTGTTGCTTAATTTTGTGTTGTACCAACAAGTGTATGCAGTAGAACGCTGAGGTGCCTGAAATAGAAGAACCTTGAGGCGGTATCGTTGATGGGAGAAACTTTGATCCCAATTATGATCATTCATTAGGTGACCTTGACTTCCGGAAGTTGGCCTATATGAATGGAATTAAAAGAGGTGGTTTACTATGTTTCTTCAGAGTTGTAAGAAATCTGATTCCTCCAATGCATTGGATCTCTGCTCATTTTGTTTGGCAGGTAATATCAATGTACCGAATCTAAAGGATTAGTTTCCGTAGAGACGTGTAACCATTAACAGTATAGTAGAAAGTGTTGGATATTAACAAAGCGATAGGAGACGAAGATTTTTTAACATATTTCGATATAAACCAAGATTAATACTACAAAATTCGATCCACACACATATTTTTGATGGGTATCATCGAAATATCTTAATTACAAGAATGTACTCTGTTAAGTAGTAAAGCGGCTCACTGTTCAAGACGCGAATTTGACCAAGTTGTCCCTGTGGGATATAAATGAAATAGCGCTTTGGTTTTGGGGGTGACGAAATAAACGAGCATTTCTTAAGTGATAACGCGGTGAAAAATGGTCAAAGTATATCTGACTTGTGTTGCATCGGTGAAACTTAAAAATCGAACACTCTAAGTTGGACAGAGATTTTGTGGCCCAATAGGTTGTAGGTTAGAGACGGTAGTTCAAATATGAATTGATCCTATTAAAGTTGAAACAATGACGGTAACCTAAGCGACACATTGGTGTGAAATTTGCCTTAAACTAAGGCATCATATAGCTAATAGATAATATATTTAGGTATTCTACACACATATATATATATATTATTTAGTCATTGTTGTCTCTCAAAAAAATGTGTTATTTATACTTATGATAGTTAATATAAAATAGTGCGATAAAGTTATTTATAATGAAATAAAATTGTAATTGTGGCGAATAAAGTTGGTGAGCGGTTTTATTTTGAATTTTATTATAGGCCGGTCAAAACTTTCCATTCTCTCAAAAAGTGAAATCATGCTACTGGTTGAATAGCCGTGCAATGTTAAATACAACTCTTTGTTTAGTTAAAGTCCAATCCCTCATGTTAGTGTGGTATCTTAAGATGTCCATGTATGGATCCTCTAATGAAAGTCCAAAACATTTTCAGATACATCTTTTGGATCAAATGGAAGATATAATCTTTCAGCAGCACATTTTTGAGAGTGTTGCTGTAATCGGTAGATAATATTTTTAGGTCGCAGGTACCTAAACAAAGTTAGGGCACTTGAACAAAAATAAACAACAGATGACCGGCACAGGTGTTTGATCATGACTGCAGGGAGTGTGTGAGAATTTAGTAGAGCCAACTGTAGGTGGAAACATATAGATATTACTTGACGAGATGATAGAATATAGTATTGAGAGATAGGTGATCATGACCAATTAGTAGCATATCCATCAGCAGTATCAGCTAGTTTTAAATTTGTTAATATCTTTTGATTATTATTTCACTGTTTTTAGATTTACATTATTTTTTTATTTTATAGGTTATGATGAACATAATTTTATTAACACAGATGAAACCGGTCAATTAAAAAATACAGATTTAGTTAAAATAACTGCAAATATGAGATCAGAATCTAAGTTAATAGGCAGACCTGATGCTTCAGATGGTAGTAGTAGAAATCTAACTATTAAAAGTTAGAATGTTTCTTAAAATTTAACTTATTTTTTTATAGTAGAAGTCAATAGTTCTGATGAAGAATCTCCTGGCTTGAAAGAACCAAAATTATTAGTATCGGAAGATGAAGAAGAAGAAGAAGACTCTAATGGTACAAACTGTAATTTAGTTGTTAATCAGTCACGTAAGTTCATATATTTATTTATTTAGTCTTATTTTTACCATTTATTATTAATACTTATTATTTATAGTAACTTTTTTTTTTTGTGTTTAAACCTCTTTTTAACTAGTAATCTTGCTCTGATAGTTGAGTGTTTTGTTCGAAATCCAAACTGGTAATCTGGTATAAGTTCCTCTGCTTCAATAATTGAGTTGAGACGCTTGAGAAAAAAATTTTCAAATAGTTTTGACATGCATGGTAGAAGCGATATCGGTCGATAGGAGGGAGCTTGTTTTAGTGGTTTCTTGGATTTGAGCAACATGATTACCTCTGCTCATTTTCATTGTTCGGAAACGAATTCTGTTTACAAGATAGCGTTGTAAATGTGGATAAGATGGATGATTGCCTTCTTAGGTAGCTCTTTACGTGGACTGATCTCATCGAATTCAGGTGCCTTTTTCATGTTGATATTGGTGTCAATTTCATGAGCCACTTCAAGTTGTGCTTTAACGATCTCATCAGTAAATTTTTGTACTGATAATTTAATGTCAGTTGACGATTTTAACTGCACAGCAAGAGAGATAGATTTTTCGAGAGTAATTCTAAAAAGGTATGTTTGTTTGTTAGAAAATGTTTTCGTTTTTTCATAACAACATTTGAACTCAATGATAATAACACAGGAATGTGATAGGAAGTTAGCTCTACTAGTCCTTCAGCTTCAACATAATTAGAGGAGGAAATACCTTTAATTATGAAGAAGTCAAGTAGATCAGAGATATTCCTTGAATCGGTTGGCCCGTAAGTTGGTTCTCTGGTAGAAATTATATCAACGTTTATACTGTTAGCTACTTTTAGCAGAGCACCTCTTTTTGGAGTGATCAGTCTTGATCTCAAGTGAGAGTGCTTTGCATTGTAGTCACCACCAGCAATAAACCTGTCTCCTAGCGTTTGGAAAAATGAAGTGAATCAAGTTTCATCTGCACCTCCTTTGGGTGAACAATAAATAGCTGTGACCGTGTGGTCATTATTTCCATTTTTAACACAAACACTTGTGGCTTGTAAGTGCAGTTTTGAGTATTCTTCAAGTTCGAAGTGTTTTATAGTTAATTGTATGACACAGCTGTACCTCCGCATGCTCTATCACTTGGGTGTAAAGTTGTATAAATCTTGTAGTTTTTTATTTTTAGAATAGTCCACAATGTAAAGTGTATTTTGGATATAAGGGCAATGTCGATGTTTTCAGTATTTAAGAAATTATTTAGTTCTTGTTTACTCTGTATTAGCCCATTGGCTTTCCTTGCAACAATCCGAAATGTGCGGTTCATTTCTTTTTCTTCTGACTTTTGTTATTAGACTTGAATTGATTACATTCTAATCTATCTAGTTCAGATGTGACATTAACTAACAATTTAGTAATGTTAGTTAAGGCAGACAAGATTTCCACTAACATAGAGTCATTTTCACTAGTTTGTTGTTGCTGCTTGGACATTTTGGGTGTTACGTTATTTGTGGCAGAACCAGTCATCTGTGAATATGAGATAGATGCAGTAACAGGTTTTGTTGGTTTCTGTTGAATGTGCTGTACTGCAGATACCTTTTTAGGATGTGCTCTTTCTTCTGTCTTTTTGTAGGCAGAACATTTCTTCCAGTTTATAGTATGTGCTTCACCACAATTTGCACATTTGGCTTTTGATTTTTTTTAGGCTTTTGACAGTCTTCTATTCTGTGTTTTTTACCACATTTCACACATATAGACATTTTATAACAATAATTCTGAGTATGCCCAAACGCCTGACAGTTTTTACACTATGGCACCTCTTTTCTCTTTCTAGGTGTTTCTATTTAAATTTTATGATAACACAAACTATCTAGATTAAATATATCTTTATTATTGTCTTGTGGAACTAAGTCTACTAAGAATAATGGTAGTTTTATCCTCGTCCATTCACTATTTTTGTCTTTTACATTTGATTTTTTTTTTATCTGGATATTTGATACATTGCTTGCAGTATGACCTTTTTCCACTAGGTCTCTTGATCTCACATAATTCTGTTTCTGGATGTAATCCACGAATTATGACCCGAAATTTTTTTTCCGCTTTCAATTGAAATTTGTTAAATTCGATTTTACTTTCTTCAAGAATTTTGATTGTACATTGGAATTGATGTTCATCCTCGGTTAGAATTTTTACATCAAAATTAGCTATTATTTTCGAGCTGCTGTTTGTGGCCAGAGACTTCTTCACTAGTTAGTCTACTTACCAAGTTTTGTATATTTTTGACACCACTATCTGTGATAGGTGGTGGTTTATATCCTTTAGTTTTTTTGTCATTAATATTTCCTATCAATTCTAGATTTATTTTATTTGAGCTTTTACTAACACCTGAATTAGTATCCATCTTTTCATTTTCCTTCGTCCTGTATGGATTTTTATTTTTATTAGGATCATTAATATTACTTGTAAATGTAATTCACTTTGTAGTTGTGCATTGCTTGTTTGTAATTGGGTCTCAAGCTTAGTTAATTTTTCGTTGTCTTGTTATATTTGTAGTATAACTGCATGGTCAACTAAAACCTTACACGTCAAAGACATTCCGATAGACGTTCCAAGTCGCTGTACGTGTGTAACCCAGATAATTTATATTACGTCACTTGACACTTCCGTCAAAGGTGAAAACATATGTATTGTTAGTATATTACTAAATAAACATGTAAATTCAGCACTTGCGAGCGAAACATATGTGTTGCTCATTCGATAAACAAAACGCGACTCAAACACCAAAATATAAACAATATTTTCATTGACTATTTTTGTATTCTCTAATATTCCCCAAGAATCTCACCTCTCTCCACTCTTGTTTAGCATATTTTTAAATGATATTAATTTTTTTTTACGCATTGTGACATATTCCTTTGTTGATGACTGCAAATTTGTTGGAATGATTAAATCTATGGATTACTCAGAATTACATCAATTAGATTTTGATGCAGTTGTTGATTGATGCTCTAATAATGAAATGCATTTAAACATATTTAAATTTAATATCATCTCCTTCCACTGTAAAAAGAATCTAATAGTCTTCTTGTACCAAATTAGTAATAGAACGTTATCAATTGTTACATTTATAAAGAATTTAGGAATTATGTTTGAATCAAAATTTAATTTACATATTTCAAGAATCAATAATACAGCACCAAAGTAATTAGGTTTTATTAGACATCACTGCAATGACTACTAATCCTTTCGATTTCAAATCATTTTACTGCTCACTAATTCGTTCTTGTTTTGATGATGATTCCACTCTTTGGTATCCTTATCAATTAGTCTGAATTAAAGAAATAGAGGCTATTCAAATAGATCTATATAATTTGATTCCATTAACTTTCAAATACACAGATAACCACATTCACTGCATATGCCATTATTTAACTTTTTAAAGGTTAAGTTACTTTAGAAGTTAGAAGAAAGAAAGTGGACTTAAATTTTTTATATAAACTACTCAAAAATTTGATTGATAGCCCTGTATTTTTCCATGATTAAATAAACAAAAATTTAATGTATGTTATGTAATTTAAGATGTGTTGAATTATTTTATTTGCCTGTAGTAATAACAAATTTAATGTCTTGGTTGAAAAAAATATGTAGTTCTACTTTTGTTATGCTTATACCATATTATTTTTCAAATGAGAACGCACTGCATTGCACATTATTGTTGGTAGCGAAAGAACATGCCATTCTTTCATTAGTTTGATTAGTTTGATTTTTTTATAATTGGTCACCATTGGTCGGCTGCTATCAATGCCGCCATGCATTCGGAGAATTGAATTAAATAAATTAAATTATTAACAAGGTACCTATTATACCTAAATATTTTTTACTCATATGATCTACTATTGTATCATACCGTCTACCTGTTGTTTGACACATACAAATGGCCTTTAAATATTGTATTAATAAAGCTCACTATGTACATGCATGAATTTCAACCGATTCTTGTCTGCTGCCAAATGCATCTTCATTTGAAAGATAGTATAGCAATGTTGTCTTTAGTGTTGATGTTTTTCATCGTCTTTTCTGCTTTATGTGGGGTTGGGTCAATTAGACCTGGTGGTCTTACCTGTACCATTATGTATCCTCTTTGACTATATTTAAGCACTCTATCAATGAAGTTTCTTTCCTGTCAATGTTGAATTAACTCTTCCCCAAGTCTCAATAATTATATTGTTTCCAATTATCGGCCAATATGCATACAATTTCATGTATTAAAAATTGTTGAATCACTTGTCTTTAGTGTAATTCAATCGTCTTTATGGATGAGCAGTATGGCTTTTGTCTTAGCTGCTTTACTCCCATTTTTAATCTCTTGTTTTGCAATTATATTTCTGATTCATTTCAGAATCGATCTTATTTCGATGTGATATACACTGATTTCTATACATTTTTTATTTTTTATTTATAATATTTTATTATATAGTTTTTATTTTTGATTCATAAAAGTTTTATTCGAATTTATAAGGAATTTGGGTTTAAGTTATAGTTATTGAAAGGCATGTATGGCTTAAAGACTTCTATTTGAAGTTTAACTTTTTTTTGATTTGGTCTGGGGGACATTCACCTTTCTGTTTTAAAAATAGTATGCATTGAGTTCTGGGTTTCCTGATATCAAACTTTATATGCGTGTATGTTCGCTGATTGTTACAAAATAACTGTGACCTTTTCTGAATGGTTTGGTGCATTTTATATGTCCAAGTATAAGATTTTGACATTCACTAGAATCAAATCTGGTAGTTTTTTCTTACAGTTTGTATTGCTAAAGTATTCTGCGTGTATCTGATGATGTTATGGATCTTGGTTTTAAGTTAAGCTTTTACCTCAAGCCTAAGAAATACCTAATCTGCCGGGTGCTTAAATTACTTGGTTTTATTATTAGATGGCGAATGAATTTCATCTTGGTATGTCTGTTAGTGTTTTATATTGTGCTCATGTCCGTCAAATTCTTGAGTATGGTTGCAATGTGTAGGATCTCCATAAGGTTAGCGACTTAAGGCAGGTTTATGTTATGTTAGGTTCATACAAAGGTTTAAAACCTTTAGGTCTTTAAAATTCTCTGTTCACTGCGTAACTATGCGCCGGTTGCTAATGTTCTTGGTGTTTCCTTAACAAAGCGAAGACATGCTACAGGTTTTCGTTTCATTTATTGACTATTAAATAGCAAAATAGACTCTACTAAACTCGTTTTGTCCATTTGTAGTATATATTTTGATCACTTATTTTTGTAGAGGTGATTTTTTTTATCATGAACTAGCAATTATCCCAGAGGATTTTAAGTGAATTTGATTTGTGTTTTTTTCTAATCACGATTGAATCGTTTAAGCTTTATTTTAATTTCATTTTTTATTATTAATTTTTTTTATTTTTAATTGAGTTATAACAGTAATCTGATATTAGTCTTATGCATATCAAAATTTCTAGAAAAATATTTTGTATTTAAATCTGTGTTCAAAAGAGGAGTTCTACTTGAAAATCAAAAGTGTGCACTTATTTAAAGTATTTAAAGTAGGGGTAAAAAATTAAAAATTGTTTTAAAATAAAGCTTAAAGTATTCCATAATGACTAGGAAAAACAGAAATCAAATCCATTTAAAATCCCCTGAGATAGTTACTGGTTCATGATAAAAAAAATCACTCTGTGTAATCTTTTTCTTGTAAACTCATTCATTTAATTCATGTATATGAATTTTAATCTGACTCTGTTTACAATACACATCATGTAACAGGACCTCACTTCAGAAAAAAAAATAAAATAAAATAATGTATTACAGGGTATGAAGTGAATTTTGAGTTGATTTCAAATGATAGTAATCATTCAGAATCTACAGATTTAGTAATACCAACTGCAGGTCCAAAATTTGGATCAAATTTAGAACGTGAAACCGACCCTTTTAATGGTATTGTTGAATACTTAATAATATTTATAGAAAATATATTTTCTTCAGTTTATTTATTATTTTTATTTAATAGATATTAACAATTCTGATGAAGATAATACTTTTGAATCAGAACAACAAGTAACAATGGAATCAGAGGATAATAATACAGATTGCAGTTCAGACGTTCATCATTCATGTAGGTTTTATACACACTAGTTTCAAATTTTATATTAGTATTTTGTTTTCCTTTTAAAAATCTTTTAATATTATAATTTTAATATACTTTTGTAAGAGTATGATCTTCAACTTAATTGCACCAGTTTATGACATGTTATTTATTTCAAAATTGAATCTATTTTATAGTTCATGAAGTTAATTATGAGACAATCTCTAACAAAAGTAGTCAATCAGAAACTATAGATTCAAAATCAAAATTAGAAGGCGAAAAAGATGTTTTAGATGGTATTCTTAAAAAAAAAAACCAAATTTTTAATGAGATAATTTTTTAAATTGACAAATTTTTTATTGATATTTGTAGATATTAATCGTCTTAATGATGGAAATAGCATTTCTGAACCAGAAGAACTATTCGTATCGGAATCAGAAGATTACTATGATACAAATTGCAGTTCAGTTGTTACTCATACGCGTGCGTTTACTATTTAGTGTTAAGTTTTAATTAGTCTAATTTTTTAAATTTACTTATTACTTATTAGAATGTTTATTAAACTATATTAGATTTATTTAGATTCTGATGAAGAGCAATGTATTGGTTTTACTATAATTTGTTTTTATTTTTAAAATGTTTATTCATTTGTGCCTGTTAATAACTTATCTATTATAAAAAATTGTGTTTTAATTAAAAACTTTATAAAAACATTCTTCTAAATTTTCTATCTAGTGCATTGGGAAAGTCATTTTGATTTTTCTTATAGTTTTCTCAATAAATCAAACTAATTACCAATTTTTATTAATTTCTATTAACTTAACTTTCTTAATTATTTATATCCGTATCTACTTAAATATTAATAAATTTAATCTACTTCTTGCTTCCTAGAAACCATTTCTTATTATTATTTCTTAATTATAATTTAATACTATTACTGTTTCATCATGTTTTGTAATATTTCTTATTGTGTAACAATTACTTTGGTTGGTATCAAGGGAGAAAATACAACTAATAATGCATTGTTCAGAATCATTTTTTTTATTAAAAATGGTTTAATGTTACATATAGATATAAATTACATTACTCTATATAATGTCCATTGCAACTTCACTCCTAAAACAGTAGTACAGTCATCAGAATTATCAGTTTTTTTTAAATTTTAGTTTTTAGGTTTTAATAAGTGTAAATAGTAGGTTTTTTTTGTTGCTGAAATGTATTGTTTAGTCCATTCTTTATTATTTCAAAATGTGTATGTTTTATCTGCTTTATAGGTTATGAAGTAAATTATGAATTGATTTCGAATGAAAGTAGTCAATTAGATACTACAGATTTAAATATAAAAACTGCAAATTTAAAACCTGAATCAATGTTAGAAGGTGACATATGCTTTAGAATTTAGATAGTTATAATTCAACATTTTTAGAAGAGTCATTTTCTTGAATTTATTGACTTGTTATTTATATTAATAGTTGGCAATCATCAGAATGAAGAGGATAATATTCTAGTACCAGGGGAACTAACTGAATTGGTATCAGAAGATTCTATTGATAAAAATCAAGTTAATCAGTCATGTATGTTTATTAGTTATTTGACAGTTTTATAATTGATTTTTTATGATAAACCTAATATATATTTACGATTTTCCATTATTAATAAGAACAGTATTTTTATTTAAATTCTAATAGATTGAAGGATTTGTTTTTGTTTATGAATAGTAGGACTGCTTATTGTCACATTATTTTAAATTGTTGGTGGTTTATCCATTTATCTGTCTTATAGGTTATGCAGTAAATTATGAGTTAATTTCAAATGATAGTTGTCATTCGGAAAATTCCGATATAGTTATAACAAACATAGATTCCAAATCTGAATCAAAGTTAGAAGTTGAAGCAATTCCTATATATGGTAGTGTGGAAAATCCTATAGATATAGATGAAATATTTTCTTAAATTTACTAACTTATTTATATTTTTAGGTATTAATCATCATCATGAAGAGAATACAATTTCTGAATCAGGAGAACAACTAGTTCTAGAACCAGAAAAAAATTATAAAGCAAATTATAGTTCAGTTATTAATCACACAAGTATATAATTTCCATTCAAGTTCTTAGTTTTTATAATTTATTAATTTTATTTTTCGATGTAAAAAATATTTTTTAGATTGTATATCCTAATTGAGTGAAGGTTATTCACTTTGTTATTGGATACTATTTTAACTTTTGTTTCGTCATTTTACTTTTTAATTGGTTGTTTAAAAATTTATTTACCCGTTTTTCAGGATATTCATCTACTATAGATGAATGCAATCAGTTAAAGACTACTGGTGTAAAAGGTTCAGATTCCAAACCTGAATTAAATTTGAATGATAAAATACATCATTTAGAAGGTATTGTTAAAAAAAACTAATAGATAAACCTTATAAAACTTAGGTAAAGATGATATCTTTTTCTTCTTAAAAAAAAAAAAAACAAAAATTATTTACAATTGCAGATATCAATCATTTTGATGAAGATATTACAATTCTTGAAGCAGAGGAACCTTTAAGTTTGGAATCACGGGAAGTGATGGATGGAATTCATGTAGTAGGAGGAGATGGTAAGCCAATTAGTAGATAGTTTAATTTATTTTTTTGTTCATTAAATTTTATAATCTGTTAGACAAATCAGGTTGTATTGTCGTGTGATAAAGAAGAAAAGGTGAATAAGTTTTTATATATTTTTTTTTTTTGCAAAAATAGGTAAATTATAAAAAGGAGATAAAACATAAAATATTAGATTCTGAGTGGAGCAAAGAAGCTTATGGTTTTACAAAGATGTTTATTTTTTTTCTGTGGACAAATTTTTTCTACTAGCATTTTGCTACGATTTACAATGATAGTACTTTTTCTTAAAGGAAATTTGACTGGAAATGTTCAAGTAATAGTGTTTTTGAGAAACAGATTGCCAATGCTGCTTTTATCAAGCTCTCTGAAGTGTATGCCACTGTATGGAAACAGCTTCGTGAATAAATTAAGCAAAGCTGTACCTTGTAAAAATCAAATAACACTTTTAAATATTATTCTAACTAACCATTGTTGTCAAGATGTTATGGGCTTCAAAGGAAGCAAGTGGCCCTCACCAAATAGTCTACTGCCAAGTCCAATACTTGTACTAACCCCTCTTTAATCTGTATTAACACGATATACAAAAAACAAAAACACCAAAGTTCCAATATGTTGATAACATTGTGATCATGTGCCAGAGCAAGAAATTAAAAGTTCGAAGCAGCACATCAAAACTTGCAATATTTAGCGATTTTTTTTTAAGTAGTGTTCAAAATCCAATTATTTGAAGACTTAGGTGCGTATAAGTACAACACAGTTTCAAGTCCAAGTTTCTGGGAATTACTCTTGACTGCTTACTTACCTTCAAGGAACACCATTTACATTTTTGACTGAGCGTATATGTCTTATCTTATCAGTGTAGTGGACAATCTCAACCATACCTTATAGATTGATCACCCTATATATACAGTGGGTATCAGTATATAACATTACTTATAAGAAGAAATTTATGTTATCTGCAGAGTAACTAATTATTTTATTACACAATACATTTTCATTAATAACACCAATCATTTTTAAAACTACAACAATGGAACAAATTGTTGGTGGTGTTTTTAAATGGTTGTATGAACTTTTTAGTTTAGGTAAGAAGAGAGTAGTGGAACACTGTGCTTGTGTGGTGGCGTGGTGCTTGACGTTTGATTAGGTTCCACTTTTTACTTAAACATATTTCGTCAACAGGTACACAGAAATAAAAAATGTTGACACCAAAATTAATTTAAACTCTCCATTTATTTATGAAATTTCGGACATAGGTTCTCATTTGAATTTTAAAAGTTCCCCCCCCCCTCAAAATTCCACAAAAAAGAAAAAGGTGTTGATGCTTTTGGGGGTGCTACATCTCATTTTTTTCTCCTTAGTTCGAAGTTTAAATGTTTGGGTCAAAGTTTTATACTGCTTCAAAAAAGTTGGTATCCTAAATGTAATCTTAAAGCCTAGTCAATAAAAAATTTAAACAATTTTATCTATAATTCAAACTAGATATCAATGATATCTGTTATTTCGTTACGGCATCATCAGATTAACTTATATAAAAAAGTATCTACTTAAAGAGCATATTCAGCATTGTGGTTCTGAGAATAATAGTAATGATAATAATAATAATAATAATAATAATAATAATAAAAATATTTATGGGGTCATATGACGTAAACTTTTTAGATGAATGAGGAATATAAAATAAATGATTGTTACGAGTGTGGTGGCTATTAACTTTGGAATTTAATTGACTTAATATTTGATTAAATAATAATAAATATATAGATTTTATTATACATAGAATCCATGAATTTAATGACAAAAGTAGTATCAAAGGTGATTAAGCATTATATGAATTTTTATAATTTTATTTTATTGTAAGTTAAATAAAATATGTTTTATTCTTTGATTTTTATTACATGATACAATGTTATTTTATTATATTGTTTTCTCAATAATGATTCTGGACATTTTTAAATTTGGTAACTATTTTAAACTTAATTGTTGCATTATTTACATTTTAGATTACGAAGTACCTAAATCTTCAAGCACACAAAGAAATCATTCACCAGAAAGTAATCATTTAACTGTAACAACCGCAAAAGAAAGTCCTGAACCAAATGTAGACAATGAAAACGTATTTAGTGGTAATGTTATAATCATTTATTACATTCCTTTATAATAATTATAAAATTTAACTTTTAAGTATTTAAAAACTGTTTTTGACATTTTTGAAAATTATTGTATTCAGGTTGTCATTTAAATTTTAAGATGTTTTTTTTAAATTAATCTTGGAGTTTTTCTTTTTTAAATTTTATTTAACCATAATAGTTTTTATTTTAAATTAAATTATAAATTGTTATAACATGTGTAGTTGAAATTGGTCATTTTGAAGTAGAAATTACAACATCTGAATTAGAAGAAGTATTAAGAGTGGATGATCAATATTATATTGGTTCAAAAAATGATTCAGTTAATAATAAGTATGGTAAGTTCTCTGTTCTCTGAGCAGAATACACAAGTAATATTATATTACTTGTGTAGAATAATTTTAGTAAACTATTATTTTTGATTTGGAATAAATAATAGTATAATATGTTTATACACATTGGTAAATATACATGTATTTATTTGTATAATTTTTATTATATTTTAAATAGGTAATTTATTTTAATATGATATTAATAATTATTAATATTAATAATATTATTAATAATAATGTTTAATTTGTTTCCATATACTTGTAGATAAGTCAAAGGAACATATACAGTTTAACAAAAAACAAGACTTAATCAACTCACCTAGTTCTAAAAGTTGTAATAAACCCGGTAAGTTGATTTACATAATTAATACAATAGTACTTAAGAATAAGACATAACTAAAAAAAAAAAATTGTTATATGAATTTATTGGGTAATATTTATTTATTCTTTTAAATTTGCTTAAATCATATAATTGTAGTTTAAAAAGGATTATTTTCTATAATTTATATTTTTATGGATAGTTCATGGTCTTAGATTATTAGGTCTGACATGAAATCCCCATATGTGAAGGTCTTATAATATACTTGTAAAAAATCAATGTTAATCACTAAATTTCAATAATACTACAAATACATAGACTAGACTCTTGATATACTACCATTTATATCAGATTGTATATCGGAAAACAGTTTTTAAAAAAAATCAATCATTTTGTTTTATTATTAGTTTATGGATTCAATTAAACAAAATATAGAATCGCTTATCTGTCTTATATGAACAATATATAATGGAAAAAAGTGTTATCGGCTTAGCTCTGAGAATTAACCCAGAAGCATTTCTGTTTAATATCATGATAATATCACAAAGTTAATACCATATATTTGTTTAACCCAATAATAAAACTTAAGCAATAATTAATGAACTCAAAAAAAAAAGAAAAAAGAAAAAAAGAAGAGTAAAGATATTATAAACTATTAGAACTGCGTGTATATATAATAATAATACATGTTTATTCTTCTTGAAGCATATTTATATATGATTTTTCTCATTTTGTAAATAGTTTCATAACAATTGGTAAAATTTAATTTTTAAAATCTATTTGTATTCACCAGAGGTTAGTCATATTAATGAAGAGATTATTAATTCAAAGTCAGAGGAACATATACAGTTTAACGAAAAACAAGACTTGATCAACTTACCTTCTTCTAAAAGTTGTAATAAACCCGGTAAGTTGATATAGATAATTGCTGTTTAGCAATTGCTGTTTAATATCAAAATAACCTTACTAAGTCAATGCCATATATTTGTTTTACTCAATAATAAAACTTAAGCAATAATTAATGAACTCAAAAAAGAAAAAAAAGAACAGTAAATATATTATAAATTATCAGAATTGCGTGTATAAATAATGTTGATACATGTTTATTCTTCTTGAAGCATATTTATACATGATTTTTTTCATTTTGTGGAGTTTCTTAAAAATTGGTTAACTTTAATTTTTAATAATTATTTGTATTCATCAGAGGTTAGTCAAATTAATGAAGAGATTACTAATTCAAAGTCAGAGGAACATATACTGTTTAACAAAAACGAGGACTTGATAAACTCACCTCATCCTGAAAATTGTAATAAACCCGGTAAGTTGATTTAGTTGATTAATACAATAATACTTAAGAATTAGATTTGATTTAAATTATTAAATTAGGGTTTTTTTTCTAATCAAAAATTAAATAGTTTCCATTATATTAATATAGTTTTATGAATTTATTTGATATTATTTATTTATTCTTTTAAATTTGCATAAATAATATAATTGTAGTTTAAAAAGGATTATTTTCTAAATTTATATTTTTATGGATAGTTCATGGTCTTAGATTATTAGTTCTAACATGTAATCCCCATATGTGAAGATCTTATTATTTACTTGTAGATAATCCATGTTAATCACTGAATTTCATTAATATTATAAATACATAGAGTAGACTCTTTATATACTACCGTTTATATCAGACCATATATCGGAAAACATGTTTTTAAAAAAATATATCAATTTGTTGTATAAGTTCATGGATTCATTTAAACAAAATATTGAATCATTTATCTGTTTTATATTAACAATTTTTTTTTTTTTTTTATCAATCCGAAGATTGGTTAAATGATTAATGGTGTTTCTCTCCACTTATAATCCTCTTCATCTCCCAGTATGTTCCTATTCCGATATCTTCCATCACCTGCTTCAGAAATGGAGTTCTGGGTCTTCCTCTTCCAGGTTTTCCTTCGATATTTATTTCCCTCTATTATTGTGGTTATCCAAGGACTATTCCTTAGTATTTGTCCGATCCATGCTTTCCTTCTCAGTCCTTAGCGTATTCCATATTGATTTTTAAGTATTCTTTCTTCTGAAAACCTCATCATTTTTTATCCTTTCCGTCCATGAAATTTTTAGCGCTCTTCTCCAACACCATACTTCAAAGGCTTCTATTTTGGCTTTTTCAGCCTTCATTATTGTCCAAGTCTGCTCCATATAGAGCTACGCTCCACACAAAGCTTTTTATAAGTGCTTTCCTGGTGTCCAGACTTATTCTGTTTGAAGTAAAAAGATTTCTCTTTTTATAATAGGCCTGTTTAGTCTGCGCTATTTCACATACTATGTCTGTATGGCTTTTCCCATCGCTTGTAATTTTGCTCCCCAGGTATATGAAACTTTGAACTGTCTCCAGCAATATTCCATCTAGAGTTATATTTACATAAATCTGCTGTTTGCTACATATAAGGATCTTGGTTTTCCGTTGGTTTATTTTCATGTAGTGTTCTTTAAGCGTGTCGTTCATTTTTTCGAGCATGTTAGTTCTGTCTTCTTCACTTTCTTCGATTACAGCAATATCGTCCGCAAAATGCAACATTTGCACAAGTATTCCTCCTATCTTTACTCCTCCAATATTTTCTTTTCTTACTTTTTTAAGGCTTCTTCTATGTATAGATTAAATAATGTAGGTGATAGATTGCACCCTTGCCTAACCCCCTTTGCAATTTTAGCCTCCACCTGGTTGTTACCTTTTTCAGCTTTTATAACTGCGATTTCATTGATGTACAGATTATGTATAATTTTTCTATCGTTATAGTCTATTCCAATGTCTTCCATAATCTTAAATAGTTTTGTCCATTTAACATTATCGAAGGCCTTCTCCAAATCTAAGAAGGCAATAAACAGTGGTTTGTTGATTCTAAACATTTTGTCTATGATTATTCTTAAGCATATTATCGCCTCTCTAGTGCCTCTATTTTTCCTGAAACCAAATTGGTCTTCAGCTAAATTTTCGTTTATCTTCGACTCTATTTTTTTGTGCATTATTTTTGTAAGAATCTTAGAAGCATGTGTTATGAGGCTAATTGTTCTGTACTCTTCACATCTCTCTGATTTCTTTTTCTTGGGAATGGGAATTATAATGCATTTCTCGAAATCTTTCGGAATGATGCCAGTCTTGTATGCTTTTCCTATTATTCTAAACAGAATATCTTTTCCATACCCATCTAATGCCTTTAATAGTTCTCCGTTTAACTCGTCTATCCCAGGTGCTTTATTACTTTTAAGTTCATTTAAGGTTATTTCAAATTCTTCTCTTAATATAGGTGGTCCTGTGTTGCATTGTATATCTTCCCGCCTCGTCATGGAGAATTGTATAGTGTCTGCTTGCTCGTTTCCATATAATTTGTCTATGTAATCTTTCCACGTCTTTAGTTTTTCCTCTTCATCACTTATAACTTTTCCATCACTGTTTTTTAAAAACGTTGACCTATTTCTATGTTTACTGAAAAATAAAAACTGGTGATGTAGCAATAGAAGAAAGTTTCAAAAAATTTGTATATTCTGCTCTAGTTTAATTGCACTTAAAATATGCAATATCTATCTGGAGAGATAANTTAGTTTCATCTTGGTTTTCCGTTGGTTTATTTTCATGTAGTGTTCTTTAAGCGTGTCGTTAATTTTTTCGAGCATGTTGGTTATGTCTTCTTCATTTTCTCCGATTACAGCTATATCGTCCGCAAAACGCAACATTTACACAAGTATTCCTCCTATATTTACTCCTCCAATATTTTATTTTCTTACTTCTTTTAAGGCTTCTTCTATGTATATATTAAATAAGGTAGGTGATAGATTGCACTCTTGTCTTACCCCCTTGGCAATTTTAGCCTCCACCTGGTTGTTATCTTTTTCAGCTTTTATAACTGCGATTTTATTGATGTACAGATTATGTATAATTTTTCTATCGTTATAGTCTATTCCAATGTCTTCCATAATCTTAAATAGTTTTATCCATTTAACATTATCGAATGCCTTCTCCAAATCTAAGAAGGCAATAAACAGTGGTTTGTTAATATTAAACATTTTCTCTATGATTATTCTTAAGCATATTATCGCCTCTCTAGTGCCTCTATTTTTCCTGAAACCAAATTGGTCTCGAGCTAAATTTTCATTTATCTTCGACTCTATTCTTTTGTGCATTATTTTTGTGAGAATCTTAGAAGCATATGTTATGAGGCTAATTGTTCTGTATTCTTCACATCTCTCTGGTTTCTTTTTCTTGGGAATGGGAATTATAATGCAATTTCTCGAAATCTTTCGGAATGATGCTGGTCTTGTATGCTTTTTCTACTATTCTAAACAGAATATCTTTTCCATACCCATCTAATGCCTTTAATAGTTCTCCGTTTAACTCGTCTATCCCAGGTGCTTTATTGCTTTTAAGTTCTTTTAAGGCTATTTCAAATTCTTCTCTTAATATAGGTGGTCCTGTGTTGCATTGCATATCTTCCCGCCTCGTCATGGATAGTTGTATAGTGTCTGCTTGCTCGTTTCCATATAGTTTTTCTATGTAATATTTCCACGTCTTTAGTTTTTCCTCTTCATCACTTATAACTTTCCCATCACTGTTTTTAAAAAACGTTGACCTATGTCTATGTTCACTGAAAAATCTTTTTATTATGTTGTATGCCTTATCACCCATACCTTTGGAAAGGTAGTCATCTACTGAAGAGCATTTATCATTCAGTCATTCTTTCGCTTTCTTTGACTCTTAAAATCATGTTTCTATATACTTTATATTTTCTTTTATCTTCATCATTTTTTCCATTTTTATATTTTCTTCTTTCTTCTATGAGGTCTACAATTTTATTCGTTATCCAAGGTCTTATCGGGGAATTTCTCTCATTCCCTAGTTTCCTTTCCACCGCTGTTGTGACTGCTTCTTTTAACACTTCCCAATCATCATTTATTCCATACGGCTCATTCTGCTCTTTTATTTGCAATTCTTTTAACTTATTATTTACTCCTTCGCTGTAATTATATCTTATTTCTTCATCTTTCAGTTTATCTAAATACCATTTTTTCCTTGTAATTTGTTTGTTTTCCATTTTTTTAAGGCTTAGATTGGATTCCATTATGACTAAATTATGATCACTATCTATGTCTGCTCCAGGGAAGCTTTTGCTTTGTTTTACTTGATTTCGGTATCTTTTCCTAACAAGGATGTAGTCTAATTGATATCTGGTTTCCCCTCCTGGCCTAGTCCACGTGTACCTTCTACGCTTAGGCTGTGAGAATAAAGTGTTTGTGATCACTAAGTTTTGTTCCTTGCAAAACTCTATTAGTCTTTCGCCTCTTTGATTTCTCCTGCAACTGCATTCCAGTCTCCCAAGATTATCATATTATCCTTCCCCTTTGATAACTTTATAACTTTGTCAATTTGCCCATATATTTCCTCAATATTAACGATATATAATTTAAAAAGTGTTATCGGCTTAGCTCTGACCATTAACCCAGAAGCATTGCTGTTTAATATCATAATAATCTCACAGAGTTAATACCATATATTTGTTTTACCCAATAATAAGTTTTAAGCAATAATTAATAAACTCAAAAAAAAAATGAAAAGAAGAAGAGTAAAGATATTATAAAATATTAGAATTGCGTGTATAAATAATGTTAATACATGTTTATTCTTCTTGAAGCATATTTATACATGATTTTTCTCATTTTGTAAATAGTTTCATAACAATTGGTAAAATTTAATTTTTGAAATCTATTTGTATTCACCAGAGGTTAGTCATATTAATGAAGAGATTATTAATTCAAAGTCAGAGGAACATATACTGTTTAACAAAAAAGAAGACTTGATAAACTCACCTCTTCCTGAAAATTGTAATAAACCCAGTAAGTTGATTTGGATAATTTATACAATAATACTTAAAAATTAGATTTGATTTAAAAAAAAAAAAAAAAATTGTTTTATATCCATATAATCCTTATTGGGTAATATTTATTTATTCTTTTAAATTTGTATAAATTATATTATTATAGATTAAAAAGGATTATCTTCTATACTTTATTTTTTTTGGATAGTTCATCCTCTTAGATTATTAGGTCTGACAAGTAATCCCCATATGTGAAGGTCTTATTATATACTTGTAGATAATCCATGTTAATTAAAAATTTATATTTTACTTTAAATAATACTATTCAAGCTGTCCACGTCTTTATTCTTCGCTGTTAGTATTGCCCTTTCACTTATCCAATCAAGATGTTTATAATTGTCTTCAATGTTTGGGAACACTTTTGTAATGAGTTCCGCCTTCGACCATGTGAACTCGAAAATATTTTCCGGGGACGATATTAATCCAGTCAAATCAACCGGAATTTGGCCATTGCCAAGCGCCAGCAGTTGTCTCGAGAATTCAGCAGCCAATGGGTCGTTCTGCAACTCAACTCTCATGTTCGTGGTCAATTTCAACTTCTTGACATGTCGCCACAATAACGACGATTTCAGACATGCATTAAGTTCATCGGCAGCAGTAGATTTCGGGATGACGGGAAGTGTTTTGCGAAAATCTCCGGAGAGCAATATCATTGCCCCACCAAATCTTCTCGAATCACCTTGTGAATTCTTCATCGTTCGGTCAACTGCCTCCAAATTTAGTTTATGTGCCATCGTGCATTCATCCCAAATGAGGATTATGCATTCTCGCATCAATTTCGCTGTCACTGAAATCTTTGTCGTTGTGCATGTAGGCTTGTCAACCGTTAGAAGATTCATTGGCAGCTTCAAAGCCGAATGTGCAATTCGACCGCCTTCCAACAATGTGGCAACAATGCCAAAGGATGCAACAGCCAACGCAATTTGAGATCTTGACCGAATTGTCTACAGAATTAACGAACTGACGAACGTTTTGCCTGTTCCACAAGGAGCATCGAGAAAGTAAATGCCTCCCGTTCCTTCATCAACAACTTTCATCAGTGAATCGTATACATTCTTCTGCTCGGCATTCAACAGCGGCACATTTGTTCGGACTCTTTCAGCCAGCTCATCTCGATCATAGTCTTTCTCCCGATGCAATTCACTATTAAATGCATCGTGCGTTGAACGATTTGGCGCTGGCGATGTTGACAACAGACTGCCGCACATTTCTTCAATCAGAACTAATGATTCGTTGCGCATCTCGTCGTTAATTTCAAGATCAAAATTCGAAGTTGTGCGAACTTTGTGCAAAATGTCGTCAGCCATCTCCAATGTTGGCCGCGTCTCCTTTGGTAGTGATGGCATCACGCAAGTGGATGTTCTCGTCTGATCGTAACTTCGACCGATTGAAGCGAATGAAATTGAGACGCTCCGTTTTGACCTTGACGGACATGTCGACGCAGTACTGTTGAAATAACCGGCGATATGTCAATAGATGATTGTCAACATCTTGCCGAATCATCAATCGATATGCATAAAAATTCATTGAGCTGAAATTTTTATTCGTTTCTTCTCCTGAAATATGAATTCGATCTTAGTTATAGTATGAAAAAGAAATTATGACCTGTAAACAAACCTGTCATTTGATTGACCATCTTTATATTTAAGTGATAGCTATCTTCTCCACGACTGAACATCAACGGGTATTGAAGTGCATCATATGACCAATGAGTCTCGTATACGCGCTGCAATTGTCCACCATCCCGACGTTTGTGAACAATATCGCGCGATGCCACATTCTCGCCAATAATCACCACTGTGACTTCATTGATTGTGGGAGCATTGAATTTTCTTGCATGGCTTTCAGAGGGTCTTTTGTCTGCTCTGATAATGATTTTGTGGTCGTCAGAATGTATTGTATCCAATGCGGTTTTGAACAATCTGACCAATTCATTATGCTCATGCAGAAGATTTTGCAATTGTCCGATCATTTCACTTTAGTCGCAGTAAAAATTGCACAACGCTGATCTAGTTCAATTGCCGAATTACCAACGAAATAGATCTGAAGGAACTTCCAATCTTCGTTTGGTGGTGGTAACAAAGCACCCGCTCGATGGTGAATTTGTCCTTGAATCTGAATATTTAGATGGTCATTTGTAAAAAAAAGTTATTGTTATTATTATAATTATAATGAAATGCCATTACCTTATAACTCGGATTGTAGCTTGGTTGATCAACAACTTTGGCTCCAAATGACGTCATTTGAAAACATCCGTTATATTTTTGTGTATTCGCCAGGAATGTTTTGATTGGATTGTATTTCCATAGAGAAACAAATACAATGTCCCTGGTGATTGAGCCAAAACGGGCAATATCACCTTGCCACCAGCGCAGCATAAGCCGAGGGTTTACGATCAAAACTTCAATGCATTGCAATGCTGGCATACGATAGACAATGAACCGATATCAACACAGCAAAGATTTTTGTAGGCGATTGCGGAATCGTATTCGAAAGCAGCGCGATTCAAGGCTACATTTGAATTTCTTCTTCTTCTATTAACATGTTGTCGAATTTGAAGTGGTGTTTGTGCAACGCACAATTATTGGTGTAATATGAGCACGTTTCAATTCATTTGCTTCTGCACGTTCCTCTTGCGTTTGATTATAATGGACATTCTCACAAATGATTGCATTACGTGTACGTCGTCAAATGTTTGATCTTCTAATAGGAAACATTATTCAAGCAAAAATTTCTCTCCAAAAATTAACAAAGTTGTTTTTGACGATTTTTGACGTTTTTAATCCTATTCAGAAGAAATACTCTTAATAAAAACCTGTAAAAAAGTACCTTAAGGGGATTCGAACCACCACGGTCAACACACTCTTTAAATGCCACCTTAACCCATTTGGCCACCTCTGCTGTTGGAACTATATGAGCGTAATAAAGTTGTTAAGCCCATATAGTAAACCCACATTAAAATATTGATTATAATAATATTATTTTTTAATTTTTTATTTTTATGTCAGCAATATTATGCATGGATGGATAATTTTTAATTTGTGTTTTTACTATAACAACAAAAAATTTAAACAATATTGGCATTTACTTTTTTTAATAATGATTAATTAAACATTCATGTTATAAGAAATGCAGGTATTAAATAAATGATTGATAATTAGTACAATAAAATAAAATATAAATGTATTCTTACAGTTTTTTCTTGTAACACCAACTACGGAAAATGGAAAATAAAGTCGTAAAATCGAATAATAATATTTCATATAGATAAAACTTAAATTTTATATCTACTATCGACTATTGCGTTCTATGTAAGAAGGAGGTATTTAAGTATATAAATAAAATCAAACGGAATAAAAACGATACAAAAACTTAACTATAATAATAATAATAATAGTAATAGCTAATATTCAATAAACGACATATTCCTCCATATTGATCCATAGTTTTGCTGTTGACCGGGGGCCCACTTTAATTATGTCATATGGACAATTTTAAAGGTTACTGTAGATTTGTCAATGCAAAAAAACATTCTGGAACTCAAAAAATCAAAATAAATTTAAAAAAAAAGGGGTTTTTCCAAAGAAATTTTTCGTAAACACCTTATCCTGGCAATTACGAACAATTAAAAAAAAAATTGAACCATTCTAAATTGATGAATTGTTATACATTTTTGGATCCATTTTTATACCTATAGATTTTTCTCATTTTGTAAATAATTTTATAACAATTGGTAAACTTTAATTTTTAATAATTATTTTTATTCATCAGAAGTTATTCATATTAATGAAGAGATTGGTAATTCAAAATCGGAGGAATATATACAGTTTAGGAAACAACAAGAGCTGATCAATACACTTCGTTATAAAAATTCTTATAAGCCCAGTAAGTTGATTTACATAATTAATACAATAATACTTAGGATTTAGATATGATATAAAAAAAAAAAAAAATGTTGTATGAATTGATTGAGTAATATTTATTTATTCTTTTAAATATGCATAGATCATATAATTGTAGATTAAAAAGGATTATTTTCTATATTTATATTTTTATGGATAGTTCATGGTCTTAGATTATTAGTTCTAACATGTAATCCCCATATGTGAAGGTATACTTATTATATACTTGTAGATAATCCATGTTAATCACTGAATTTCAATAATACTACAAATACATAGAGTAGACTATTCACATACTGCCGTTTATATCAAAAAAACAAATACATCAATTTGTTGTATTAGTTCATCGATTCAATTAAACAAAATATTGAATCGCTTATCTGTTTTATATTAATGATATCTCTCTCTCTCTCTCTCTCTCTCTCTCTATAGTTTCAATCCGCAGATTGGTTTGCAGCCATCTTCCATTCTTCTCTATTATCCGCTTTCCTTTTCATTTCTACGTATGAGTTGCATCCTTGGTCTTTAATTATTTGTTGAATATACTCTAGTCTTGGTCTTCCCCTATGGTTCTTGAGCACCACATTTCAAACGATTCTAGCCTTCTACGATTTTCCTTCAATAGATTTTTCATTATTTTTAGGCTAATGTTTCTTGATGCAAGAAGAGTTTTCTTGCTGTTAAATGCTATTTTCGCTTGGCATATGCGTTTTATTATTTCGCTATTGTTTCTTCCATCATTACTGATGATGCTTCCTAGGTATGCAAATGCATCTACTTGTTTTACTGTCTGGTTTCCTCGTAGCTTTATCTGTATTCTGGTTACATTCTCCTTTCCACAAACGAGTACTTTTGTTTTTTGTACATTTATTTTCATACGCAAATCCTTGATGAAAATTTCGTCCATAGTTTTGACTAGTTGTTGTAAATCTTCCTCTGTTTCAGCAATTATAGCTATGTCGTCGGCGATGCGCAGCATACTTATTTTATGACCATTCATTATTATTTTAGGTATTATTAGGTTGGTATCCTCTTTTATCTTTTCTATTACTTCTTGAATGTATGCATTAAATATAATTGGTGAGTGTAATTGGCGAGTGCATCCTTGCCTCACTCCTTTGTTTATTTTCGCTTCTTCTACGTTATCTTGGATTTTTATAACCGCCAGCTCATCTTTGTATAATTTGTACAGCAGTTTCCTGTCTGTGTGTTGGTACGGAATTCCTCACATTTCTTTGCTGCTGCCTTCTTTGGGATGGGGATAATTATGCTTTTTATGTAATCCTCTGGCATTTCACCAGTCGCATATATATCTCTGATGATTTGGAACAGTCTGTTTTTAACTTCCTCTCCTGCCTCCTTCCAAAGCTCCACTTGTATTCCATCAATTCCCGCTGCCTTTTTGTTTTTCAGATTCTTCAGTGCTTTATCGAATTCTTCCCTCATGACTGGATCCTTTTCATATTCTTCTTCTTCGTTTGATTCGATTTCCTTAAGTGTTTCTCCCTCATACAGTATTTCTAAATATTCTTTCCATCTTTTGGCAATATCTTTTTGTTCCCACAACATTTTCCCGTTATTATCTTCTATTCCTTCTGATCTGGGCTTATACTGACCAAAGAACTTTTTCACCATTTTATATGCTCCTTCCCTTCTTCCTGAAGGGTGTTTCAATATCACTACAATTTTCTTCCAGGTACTTTTCTTTTGCTTCTTTCGATTTCCTAATAATTAAATTCCTCAATGCTCTATATATTTTTTGTCCTTCTGTACTGTTCAAATTTTTATATTTTCTTCTTTCCTCTATCAAGTTCACAATTTTAGTTGTAATCCGGTCCTTTCTTGCTGTATTGTTTTTATGCCTTAGAGTTTTTGCTGCTGTTTTTGTGATTGTCTGTTTCAAGCTCTGCCATCTTTTTTCAATGTTTTGTGGTTCTAGGGAATCTTCTATATTCATATCATTTGTGCATTCACTGTATTGTTTCCTTGATTTTTCTTCTCTTAGGTTTTTCACTTGCCATTGTACCATTTTCTTCTTACACGTTATTTTTTTGAATTTAAGATTACACTTCATCATAACAAGGTTGTGATCGCTATTTATATCCGCACCTGGATAACTTCTACTTTTTTTTACTTGATTCCTAAATCTATTTTTTACTATGATGTAATCAATTTGGTACCTATTAATGTCTCCAGGCATTTTCCAGGTATATCTCCTTCTCTTATGATGGTTAAAACAAGTGTTTGTAATTATTAATTTATGTTTTGCACAAAATTCTAGTAACCGGTCCCCTCTATCGTTACGGTTTCCTAAACCATAATCACCTGTTAAATTTTTTACTTTTTCTTCCCCAACAATGGCATTCCAGTCACCCATTACTATCAAATTTTCCTCCCCTTTGACATTTTCTATTAATTTATCTAAATTTTCATATACTTCTTCTAGCTCTTCCTCGCTACTATTTGTTGTTGGCATATACACCTGAACTACTATTGTGTCCTTTGGTTTTGTTTGAAATCTGACTAGAATGATTCTTTCATTGTATTGTACGTNAACAATGGCATTCCAGTCACCCATTACTATCAGATTTTCCTCCCCTTTGACATTTTCTATTAATTTGTCTAAATTTTCATATATTTCTTCTAGCTCTTCCTCGCTATGATTTGTTGTTGGCATATACACCTGAACTACTATTGTGTCCTTTGGTTTCGTCCGAAATCTGACTAGAATGATTCTTTCATTGTATTGTACATAGCCTTTAACTTTTTTACCTAGGACTTTATTCATTACCATCCCTACTCCTCCTATACCTGGTCTTTTCTCTGCTGTTCCCATATGTATTATTCTGTAGTTTCCNTCTTCTAGCTCTTCCTCGCTACTATTTGTTGTTGACATATACACCTGAACTACTATTGTGTCCTTTGGTTTTGTTTGAAATCTGACTAGAATGATTCTTTCATTGTATTGTACGTAGCCTTTAACTTTTTTACCTAGGACTTTATTCATTACCATCCCTACTCCTCCTATACCTAGTCTTTTCTCTGCTGTTCCCGTATGTATTATTCTGTAGTCTCCGCTCCAGAAATCTCCTGGATTCGGCTATCTTATTTCTGATATTCCAAGGATATCAATTTTCATCTTGTTCATTTCCATTTTCAGGTTTTCCAACTTTCCACACTGTAATAACGTTCTTACGATCCAAGTTGCTATGAATTTGTGTTCTTTATATTCTTTAACATTTCTTTCTCCTCTCGTAGTCCCCACCCGGAGATCCGAATAGGGGACTATTTTACCTCTGGAATATTTTACTTGAGAAGCTGTCATGTTGATTGCTGTTACTTGGGATATTAATATGGTGGTTTCCGGTTGCCATCCATATCGCAGTATCCTCCATTATTTTTAATGAATGATGTTCAAGTATGAATGGATTCACACTTGATTTTAGCAGTGCTGCTTCCCACTACTATGTCCATTTTGGTCGCCTCTTACAACGGGCATGGACTACCATGGGTGTATTCTAACCCACCACCCACAGGGGGATAATGATATATAAAGGAAAAAAGTGTTATCGGCTTAGCTCTGAAAATTAACCCAGAAGCATTGCTGTTTAATATCATAGTCATCACCATATTTGTTTTACACGATAATAAAAATAAAGCAATAATTAATGCACGCAGATAAAAAAAAAAAAAGATAAAAGAAAAAATATATTTTAAAATATTAGAATTGCATGTTTCTTTAATTTAAAAACATGTTTATTCTTCTTGAAGCATTGTTATATATTATTTTCTAATTTTGTAAATAATTTTAAACAATTGCTAAACTTTAATTTTTTATAATTTTTTGTATTCACCAGAGGTTAGTCATATTAATGAAGAGTTTGGTAATTCTAAATCAGAGGAATATATACAGTTTAGGAAACAACAAGAGCTGATCAATACACTTCGTTATAAAAATTATAATAAGCCCAGTAAGTTGATTTACATAATTAACACAATAATACTTAAGAATTAAATTTGATTTAAATGAATAAAATTAGGTTTTTTTTTAATCATAATTTATATTGTTTTCATTCAAATTAAAATTTGTATATAAAGTTATTTGATATTTTTTGTTTATTCTTTTAAATTTGCATAGATCATATAAGAAATGAAAGAATTATCTTCTAAACTTTATATTTTTATGGATAGTTCATGGTCTTAGATTATTATATCTGACAAGTAATCCTCATATGTGAAGGTCTTATTAAATATTTGTAGATAATCCATGTTAATTAAAAATTGCAATAATGCTACAATTACTTAGAATAAATTCTTGATAAACTCTATTTCAGATTATATATCGGAAAACGGTGTAAATAAAAAAAAAAAAAAATTGATTATTAGTATTAGTTCATTTATTAAAGTAAGCATTTTAATGATTCGCTTATTGGTTTTATATTAACAATATATAATGGAAATAAGTGTTATCAGCTTAGCATTGAAATGAACCCAGAAGCATTGCTGTTTAATACCATAAGTATCTCAGAGTCATCACCAATTTGTTTTACCCAATAATAAATCTTAAACATTAATTAATGCACGCCAAAAAAAATAAGACTTTAAAATATTAAAAATGAATGCATCCTTAACTTAAAAACATGTTAATTCTTCTTGAAACATTGTTATACACAATTTTTCTTATTTAGTAAATAATTTTAAACAATTGGTAAACTTAAATTATTTTATAATTTTTTGTCTTCGCCAGAGGTTAGTCATATTAATGAAGAGATTTCTACTTCTAAATCTGAAGAATATATTGAGTTTAAGAATCAACAGGACCTGATCAATACACTTCGTTATAAAAATTTTAACAAGCCCAGTAAGTTGATTTACATAATTAACACAATAATACTTAAGAATTAGATTTGATTTATTAAATAAAATTGGGTTTTTTTTTTTCTAATCAAAAATTAAATTGTTTTCATTAAAAATAAAATTTTTTTATGAATTTATTTTATATTTTTTATTTGTTCTTTAAAATTTGCATAGATCATATAATTGTAGATTAAAAAGGATTATTTTCTATATTTATATTTTTATGGATAGTNTTAGAATAAATTCTTGATAAACTGCCATTCATATCAGATTATATATCGGAAAACTGTTTTAATAGAAAAGATTTGATTTTTTGTATTTGTTCATGGATTCAAGTAAACATAATAATCATTCGCTTATCGGTTTTATATTAATAATATATAATGGAAATAAGTTTTATCGGCTTAGCTCTGAAAATTAACCCAGAAGCATTAATGTTTAATACCATAGGTACATCACAGTCATCACCATATTTGTTTTACCAATAATAAAACATAAACAATAATTAATGCAAGCAAAAAAGAAGAAAAGATTTTATAAAATATTAGAATTGCATGTATCTTTAACTTAGAAACAATTTTAATCTTCTTGAAGCATTGTTGTACACAATTTTTCTTATTTAGTAAATAATTTTAAACAATTGGTAAACTTTAATTTTTTTTATAATTTTTTGTATTCACCAGAGGTTAGTCATATTAATGAAGTGTTTTCTAATTCTAAATCCGAAGAATATATTGAGTTTAAGAATCAACAGGACCTGATCAACACACTTCGTTATAAAAATTTTAATAAGCCCAGTAAGTTGATTTTAATAATTAACACAATAATACTTAAGAATTAGATTTTATTGAAATAAATATAATTGGGTTTTTATTCTTATCAAAAATTAAATTAATTTCGTTAAAAAAAAAAAAAAATGTTTGATATGAATTTATTTGATATTTTTAATTTATTCTTTTAAATTTGCATAGATTATATATTTGTAGATTAAAATGAATTATCTTCTATACTTTATATTTTTATGGATAGTTCATGGTCTTAGATTATCAGGTCTGAAAAGTAATTCCATACGTAATGTCTTATTATACACTTGTAGATAATTCATGTTAATCATACAATTTCAATAATGCTACAAATACTTAGAATAAATTCTTAATAAACTTTATATCAGATTATATATCGGAAAACGGTGTAAATAAAAAAAAAATATTAATTTTTAGTATTAGTTCATTTATTTAAGAAAACATTTTAATGATTCGCTTATTGGTTTTATATTAACAATATATAATGGAAATAAGTGTTATCGGCTTAGCATTGAAATGAACCCAGAAACATTGCTGTTTAATACCATAAGTATCTCGGAGTCATTACCATATTTGTTTTACCCAATAATAAATCTTAAAAATTAATTAATGCACGCCAAAAAAAAAATGAGACTTTTAAATATTAAAAATGCATGCATCCTTAATTTAAAAACATGTTTATTCTTCTTGAAGCATTGTTATACATGGTTTTTCTCATTTTGTAAATAATTTTATAACATCTAGTAAACTTTAGTTTTTAATAACTATTTGTATTCACCAGAGGTTAGTCATATTAATGAAGAGATTTCTACTTCTAAATCTGAAGAATATATTGAGTTTAAGAATCAACAGGACCTGATCAATACAATTCGTTATAAAAATTTTAACAAGCCCAGTAAGTTGATTTACATAATTAACACAATAATACTNAAGAATTAGATTTTATTGAAATAAATATAATTGGGTTTTAATTCTAATCAAAAATTAAATTATTTTTATTTACAAAATAAATTTTTGATTTCAAATTATTTGATATGTTTTACTTATTCTTTTAAATTTGCAAAGATCATATAATTGTAGATTAAAAAGAATTATCCTCTATAGTTTATATATATGAATAGTTCATGGTCTTAGAATTCTATGTCTGACAAGTAATCCCCATATGTTTAGGTCTTATTATATACTTGTAGATAATCAATGTTAATCATAAAATTTCAATAATGCTTCAAATACTTAGAATAAATTGTTGATAAACTGGCATTTATATCAGATTATATATCGGAATACTGTTTTAATAGAAAAGATTTGATTTTTTGTATTTGTTCATGGGTTTAAGTAAACATAATTATAATTCGCTTATCGGTTTTATATAACAAAATATAATGGAAATAAGTGTTATCGGCTTAGCTCTGACAATTTACCTAGAAACATTCCTGGTTAATACCTTAGGTACATCACCATATTTGTTGTACCAATAATTAATTCACGCAAAAAAGAAAATACATTTTATAAAATATTAGAATTGCATGCGTCTTTAATTTAAAAACGTGTTTATTCTTCTTGAAGCATTGTTATATATTATTTTCTAATTTTNCACACTTCGTTATAAAAATTTTAATAAGCCCAGTAAGTTGAATTACATAATTAACACAATAATACTTAAGAATTAGATTTGATTTAGATAAAAAAAAAAATGGTTTTTTTTTTTCTAATCTAAAATTAAAATGCTTTTATTTAAAATAAAAATTTTATATGAATTTATTTGATATTTTTTATTTATTCTTTTAAATTTGAATAGATCATATAATTGTATATTAAAAATAATTATCTTCTATACTCTATATTTTTATGAATAGTTCATGGTCTTAGATTATTATGTCTGACAAGTAATCCCCATTTGTTAATGACTTATTATATACTTGTAGATAATCCATGTTAATTATAAAATTTCAATAATGCTACTAATACTTAGAATAAATTCTTGATAAACTGGCATTTATATCATATCATATATCAAAAAACTGTTATAAAAAATAAAAAAAATTGATTTTTTGTATTTGCTCATTTATTCAAGTAAACAAATCAATGATTCGCTTATCGGTTTTATATAACAAAATATAATGGAAATAAGTGTTATCGGCTTAGCTCTGACAATTAACCCAGAAGCATTGCTATTTAATACCATAGGTACCTCACAGTCATCACTGTAATTGTTTTACCCAATAATAAATCTAAAAAATTAATTAATGCACGCCAAAAAAAATAAGACTTTAAAATATTAAAAATGCATGCATCCTTAACTTAAAAACATGTTAATTCTTCTTGAAACATTGTTATACACAATTTTTCTTATTTAGTAAATAATTTTATAACAATTGATTAACCTTAATGTTAAATAATTATTTATATTCACCAGGGCTTATTCATATTAATGAAGACTTTTCTAATTCTAAATCAGAGGAATATATACAGTTTAGGAAACAACAAGAGCTGATCAATACACTTCGTTATAAAAATTCCAATAAGCCCAGTAAGTTGATTTACATAATTAACACAATAATACTAATGAATTAGATTTGATTTATTAAATAAAATTGGGTTTTTTTTTTTCTAATCAAAAATTAAATTGTTTTCATTAAAAATAAAATTTTTTTATGAATTTATTTTATATTTTTTATTTGTTCTTTAAAATTTGCATAGATCATATAATTGTAGATTAAAAAGAATTATCTTCTATACTTTATATTTTTATGGATAGTTCGTGGTCTTAAATTATTAGGTTTGACAAGTAATCCCCGTATGTGAAGTCTTAATGTCATGTCCCACTTTTATGTCGTTATATAATCGTCAAGTACTCGAATATTCCACATTACATAATATTATTATTTTGATGACTGATTCAGTGTATTTATGTTATTTTTGGTTTTTTAATTTTTGAATACATTCTGAAATAATGAGTGTACTCACTTATGAGGATGACCCGATATACAAAAAAATGACTAAAAATTAATGTTGGAAGTAAATGGTAAATTCACAGAAATATCCAATATAATTAAAAGTAAGTACTAGAATGGAAAAAAATCTAGGACAATATTTCTGTCAACGTTTTTTTCACCAGTTAAAGGTAAACAAACTCAAATATTATGGTTTTAAATGATAAAATGTGGTATCTTAATTCAATTTTTAGCTATTCAAAGTATACCATCATAAGATTTTTATTGTTATAGTTCAAAAATACATTTTTCCTATTCAATCCCATGTTAAAATATGTTTCTTGCATTGCTTTATAAATATTATTTATTATATTTTGTGACTTGGTATACACATGTTTATATTTCTAATAGAAATGAATTATTTGGATGAAGATATTATAATTTCTAAACCAAAAGAACAATTACAATTAGTTGATGAACAAAATGTTATTATTTCAAAAGATGGTTTAAATAGTTATAATTCAAGTAAGTGCACATTTACTAGAAAAATGTTTTATTATATTTAGTTAAAAATTGATTTAATATTTTAATCACATAATTAATACATGATTGTATTTAATTTATTTAAAAAATAGCTGATTTTCTTAGACCACCCTTATAACTTTGAGTTTTTTCACCGCCAACATAACTTAACTTCTCACTTTCTCACTATTCCTTCACCAGATCACATCTCTCTTATTTCACTCCCAGATATCTTAGATCCTCTTTTAGTACATTAATTCATTTTTTTTAGTCTTAGTATGAGGCTCATTTTCTGATTCTTCCATTTCAGCACTGTTTTAACAGTATATTACCCTTTTCATTACACTTGGTCTAGCTATTGTATTCGTTGTTCTTTAATAAAGATATCACTTCATCATTGCTCCCAATACCTATCAATTATTTTATTATTGTATATTTGTGGCTTTTTCAACTTTTGTTAGTGAACATACACATATTTTGTTAATCATTTGTATTTTATTTTTAGACCGTGAAGAACACAGTTCTTCAAATATATTGCATGTAATTTATCCACCAGATGCATCATTTTCCAGTAATAATTTCAAGAGAGATGGACATAATTTAAATAGTAATATAATAATTCGTAAATTATATTTTAGTTTGTGATATTTAAATATTTAATATTAATTTAACATTATTATTTAATAATTAATTAGGCCATTTTAATGAGGAGATATTTACTACCAAATTTAACGAATTTATAAATTTGAGCGATCAACAAGGTGTTAATTCATTAGTTAATTTAGATCATAATAAGACATGTAAGTTAGTTACATATTTATCAGTAAAGGGTTTTATTTGATTTAATTTGTAAATTAATAATATTAATATGTTCTTTATCTGATTTAGCCTGTGAAACCATTCAACAGAAGGCTACATTAGAAATGGCAAATGTAATTACAACGTTAATGTCATATACTAAAAATAGTAATGAAGATGAAACTGTTGATTCAAATAATTTACACGGTACTGTTAAAAAGTTTTTATTATATTTTATAGATCTCGGTTAATTTATACATTTTTCTTGTTCTTATAGATTTTGATCATTTTGTTGAAATAGTTACAAATACTAAACTAGAGGAAAAATTACGGCTAGAACAAAAAAAATTTATTAATTCTAAAGGTGTTTCAAATGGTAATAATTCAAGTAAGTACTATATTTATTAAGCCGCAAAATATGTTATTATTATTTTAATAATAGTAATAAAAATAAAATGAAATAAGTATAATGCAAAAATGGTTTAAAAAATTATTATATAATTATTTCAAAGACCAATAACTAATAAGTAGTATTAATGAATTAGTCAATGAGAAATATTGTTAAGTATAGTAGGGTCTAATCAGTTATTTGAAAACAGTATTAATTCAACAATTGTAATACCTTAACAATTAACAAACATAAGTGAGTTCAATATAGTTAATGTTGTTAAAGTATATAAAAACATAATCAATGGAAAATAGATGAAACATTTTTGAAAAAATAATTACACATTTTGAGTTCAGTTTTAAAACAATGATAAATACAAATCTGCAAATAGTAGCCCAATAAACAATCAAACATTAAAATTTAGAATAAAAAATTTAAATTTTTTAATTTGAAAAGCTTTAATATTTTATTATAAATAACAATATTTTAAATTTATATTATACAGTTAGTAAGTTGTATATGTATACAAATAAAAATATTAAATTTATTATTTATATACAAATTTCTACTACCAATGCATTACTTAAATAAGTACTAAAATTAAAATATTAATGAACATTAACCCCCTTAATGTTTTATAATAATTATTTATTATTAATTATGCTTGGACTGTTTGGAAAGTAAGTTTTGATTAGTCACTATGTGAAAAGTAGTGGGGGTAGCGCTAACATCTATGCATAGACAAGTGTGATAGGTCATTCAACATCTATCCGTGGTAGAGTTTTGTTTTAGTGGTATCTGGAAATGTGTACTACAATAGGAAACCCCTCCAAATGCAAAATGTGAGCTGTGTTGTAAAATTTTTTACAAATTGTAAAAACAATATTCGAAATAAATTGGACACTTTGTGTCCTGTATGGATCAAGTGGGATAAAACCAAATTCGTATCTGTTACACCTTGCAGTGCAATTTACAATTGGATATTATCATTTTATTAAATATCGATGCTACTTACTGTTGAAATTTTGATAATTGATCAAAATATCAAAAGACAAAATAGCCAAACTAAAATATCTAATAGTTAAAATATACAACCTAAAAATTACCTAGAAACCTAGAAAAATAAATTCAATCTAGATAGTTACGCTGTATTACTAATAATAAAATAAATTACTTCAATAGCAATAATATCACAAAATTTATTTCACAAACATTAATCGATGTGGTTATATAATATAAAATAAAATACAAGTTAAAATGTAAAGTAAAAATATTACTATGGTGTAAATTAGTAGACTATTCCAATCAGGCTAATGAAAAGTGAGCATTGACTACAACGATTCCAGTGGCTATTTTTAATAAGTTATTATCACAACCATTTGGGGTGATTTTTAAAATTTGTCACGCTAAATTATTATTTACATAAACTGTTTATTTATTGAATACGGCATGCTGCGTTTCCCGACAATAAAGAACAATACTACAAATTTAAGAACCACTGGTCAATATTTGAACTCTGTCCATTATCCGCTACTATAGCCTATAGGTACACTATTTTCTTGTATATCGTTTTCAGTTCAGACAAACCGATATTTAGAAGCTAGATTTTTGACGTACACCCTATTGGTGGACAAATTCATATTATATCTTTTATTTACTTGGTAAAAAGTATGTCCAGCTGACAAATACAACTTAATAGGTTTAAACTAATTGTTCAAACTATATATTTAAAAGTATCAAACTCTACATGGTTAGATGTGTTAGAATACATGAGCTAAAGAGTACAATATTGATGAAAATAATATGGCCCTTTTTTTCTTAATATTGTATCTGAGTGCATTTGTCAATAAAAATTTTATCAAATTTGATTTAAAAGTAGTAATATCCAAACTCATTTCAAAAATTTCTGATGTTAAAATAACTTGATATAGGATCTCCCCTTAACATTTTGTTTTAGTATGCATACAGTGGTAAGACTATCTTAGAGAGAATTAAATTTTACGGACTTTTTTTAGTTTTTTTTTAGATTATTCAAGAAATAAGTAGCTTTAAAATGGTGTGGTACTGTTATTTTGTGTTTCCTTTATTTCTGACACCACATACTTTTGATTTTAAAATAGTAACCTATATTAAAAATTCCGTAATTAGATGGAGTATTAGTTCAATTTGTAATTTCTGCCAACCTGTATTAAAAACATCAACCTTTATTGGAACCTGCTTTTTTTTTTTTATATTAAACAGTTTCAGTATTCCCACCTTTCAGATTCTTCTATTATTCCCAATTTAGGGCCTTCCAAACTCCACTCAACTATTTTTCTTAAAAGCCTTTACCATAAAATTGCATTTGATAACTTAATATATGATACATATCTTTGATACCCTCCATCTCTGATTATAATCAGTATTCCGATAATATTTGGATTTTATTAATAGATATGGCTTCACTGAACAATTTATAGTTTGTGAACTTGATTATAGAATACAATTTTTATTTACTTTTAGAAATTTAAAATCATAACATCTTCGATATAAATTAATATTTCTTATCAAAAATTGCTATATGTAGACTGTCCGATAAATAAAATACAAAGTTATTTTTAGTGTTAGCAATGAACAATATCAGTCGGAAATTTCTAGAAGTGATAATATATTTAACAAACGACATATTCTATGCATCATGACTATTATAGTTTAGTGTTCCATCAGCTACGTAATTATAAACATGGAAAATCAATATTTAAGTTGTACAAAAGAAGAAGTTCGCACAGTCTTTTGATTTTTTCAAAATGTTTCTCCAACTGAAATTTATAGAAAATTAACCGAAGTTTATGGTCCGCACGTTATGTCTCGAAAAAGTGTATCGGTTTGGTGTACAAAATTTAATTCTGGTCGAGAAAGTGTTGAAGATGAGGCAAGAAGTGGTCGACCAATAAACACATTCACCGCTGAAATCATTGAGGCGGTCGAAAAATTGCTACGATCCTATAGACTACTGAAAATTAGGGAAATGGCTATACAACTTGATCTTCCAAAGACCACTTTACCACTTCAAAGACACTGTACATGAAATTATTCATGGAATTTCAAATTTTCTTAGGGTTTGTGCGTGTTGGGTTCCGAAAATGCTTACATCAGACCACAATTCAAACTCCATGCGAATATCCCTTGAGCATTTGAATCGGGCTCGTAATGATTGAAGCTTCCTCGAGTACCTCATTACAAAAGATGAGATATGGGTTCATTATTCTACTCCTTACAACAAACGAGACTCGATGACCTGGAAGCATCCTGAATCTTGAGTTCTGAAAAAAATTCAAACGAACAATTTCCCCGAAAAAAATTATGGTCAGTGTGTTTTGGGATGCATAGGGAATTTTACTGATTGAACTTTTATCAATAAATGCTACCAATTTATTGAAACGTTAGAAAAATTGAAAGGAAAAATTTGTTTCAAGAGATGAGGGCAATTATGCTCAAGAAATGTGAAACTGTTGCAAGACAATATAACCTTTTATTCAGTGGGAAAAACCAAAGCTTGGCTGGAAAAATACTAGTGGAAAGTATTGCAACATCCACCATATAGTCCTGATCTGGCACTTTCAGATATTTTTTATTTGGTCCGTTAAAAAAACACTTAGGAGGAACTCATTTCCTCATTTTTAAATGAGAAGGAGGTTATGAACGCAGTTACCGAGTACTTTGATGAAAAATGTGCTGCATATTATAAATGGCAATTTCAATTTACTGCATCATTGGGAAAAATGCATCAATTTGAATGGTGATTATGTAGAAAAATACTAAAAATCTTATTTATCGTATACAAATTTTAAAGTAATAAATTTATTTTTCATTATTCAGTATAGTTTTGTACCTTATTTATCTGACAGCCTACGTATAATGCCATTAAAATTTTCACACCCTGATAACATTTTTGGTAGTAATAGTTTAAAATCATATTATAAATAAATTAATGATATCGTATTACTTTATATTAATTTAAAATTATTATTTACACAGTAAAAAATAACTTTCTTGATGAACTAATAACAATCACTAAACTAAAGGAACAATTAAAATTAACTAATCAAAAGAAATTGTTGAAGATTATGAATTATTCAAATCTTAGAAGGTTGTGTAAGTGAAAAACATATATCTTTATTTTTTATTAATTAATTGAAATTACTACTGGCTTAAAATGCATTATTCTTAATCTACGCAACAATGGAATAAGTATCCCATTGTTATTTTCTTTTAATGAAGACATAATAATTGTGTGGTGTTTTTATTAATGTTTTTAATTTCGTTTTTAGGTTGTTAATTAATTCAAATTTCGTCATTTATTAAAATATATCAGGAATGCTGTGTCTGTGGAATTTTAGTAATTCATTTAACAGACTCCATAAATGCATTTATTAATAATAAAATAAGTTCTTTAAATGGTAACAAATTATTAAGTATTTTTGATGAGAATATTACCATTTACATAAATTTTATTGTTAAAATCTAAATTAAGACAAGTCTTAGAAAAAATGAAATTTTAGTGCCCAAATTCTTATTTTGTATTTTATGGGCCAGTAGCATATTTAAAAGGACTAATAGGGATACAGCCCACCTCAAAATTTCAGGAAATTTTAAATTGTTTTAAATTTAAATTTAAATCTAATAAACTACAATATATGACTGATCAATCGTCCTCTTCCCTAACAACAATTCCTGGATATGACACTGGTCTGGACACATCTAGTTATGACCAATATTAGTAAATCAGTACCTCCTATAAATATTAATATAAAATAAAAATAAAATGATAATACAACAAATATAACTTTACTGACATAAAATTAGAGTTAGTATTTATGGAAATTTTATTTGTATACATAAACTATTAAAACTAAAAAAAAAATTTTATTATAGTAATAATTATATATAATATATAGGTTACATTGAGTGTTCTAAATGCCATGACTTAAGTATCATATCATTATTACATCTATTTTATTTGGGAACCTATTTACTAAAATATGTTAATATAAAATAAAGTAAAACATGGTTTTAGAGACTAGTGAATAAATAATAATTCATTATGTTTATTTGATAAGTACATTAGTTTATTATTAAGTATTTATACAAGTAATTAAACCATGGTATTTTGAAATGCACAAACCATTCTTTTATTTGACTTACATTTAGTTTTGCATGGAAAATAGAAAACAATTTTCTCCTTATGTTTGTAAATTGTTAATACATAAATTACAAATTATGCATTTATTATTATTTAAATTTTAAAACAACACTGGTTCTTAATTAGCATTTTGTGATATTTACTTTAATATCAGAATTTATAAACAGTAAATGTTTTTTTTTAATGAATGTGGGTCACAATTTGATAGGGCCAGGCAAAAACTAAAATAAGGAATTTCGTCCAAGTACCGTGGGCCTTTACTTTTTTGCCTAGGCATATCTTAGGTTAGCCTAAATTTGGCTTTTGTAAATATCGGTTATTATTTAAGTTATAATATTTATATAATTAGTAGCTGATTACTGATTAATTTATTGAAATGAAAGTAATATTAACAGTACTATTAAAAATATAATAATTTGATTAATGTATACTTATTGTTATTTCCTATAGGATACTACGAAGCAGGATCAAAATTAAATGATTCTGTGGAAATAGAGAATAATATTGATCCTCAAGTTAGTGACAAATCAGGTAATTTTCATACAAATTTTATAATAATGGATTTACATTTTAATTTGTATTTTTAACATTTATTTACATTGTTTCTACTAGTATAATTCTCAAATAGAGAATCTCATGATCTTACAACAAATTATTTTTCATACTACTTAACTAACTATTCAAAACCAGCTGTCATGAACAACTTTGCCATTGACAGTATTTTACAAAAAAATATTTCCTCATAACTTAAGGTTTCCACCCATATTCCAATCTCAGCTAACTGTAATTTCTCAGTAATTAATTCTTTTAAAATGAAGATGAAATAAACTAATAATGTACCAAAAACCCATTTAGTTGTATATCACACTCAGAAAAATATACTCCTTCTGTTTTTAATTTCAAGTTTTATAGTAAGCTTTTTTCTGAAATTAAAATTGTTTAGAAAAACAAAAAAACTGATGTTCTGTTAAATTTTTGGCTCAAGTATATTTTTTTTTTTTTTTCAAAACATCCTATATTGTGTGTAAATACGAGCGCTTTTCAAATTTTTTATCCAATGACATTTGTTGTTTTAGTATTAAAATGCGTTCTAGGACAGTTTGGTGTTAAATGTATTTTTTACTATTTTATTCACTGTCACTCTTACTGTTGGCTGTTATTTTAACCTAATAAAATATAAACAATATTTACAGACTGCAAGATACAAAATATAGACAATTACATTATTATAATTTGAAATGATACATATTATAATTTTCAAATTTAAAATAATAATAACATGAAGACTAGAATAAAAGGATCAAACTCGTACAACCACCTGTAAATACACACATATGCACATGTATGAATGCGTAATTTTACAAGCTATACAATTTATAATTGGCCATAGTTTGAAATAATGTATATATTTTTTAAAACATACAAAAATTATGAATAATCGCTATACTACACAGGTTAAAGTCACAACCCTAGTGTACGCTGCATAGCTTATGACCATTTAATTGTGCGACTCATTTCGAGATATTATCAGAAATGGAGTTTGGTGTCTTTATTCTAGTCTTCGTGGATAATAATATAATAACACCACATATTACGGATTTTTTTTTAAATTATAAAACCAGATTGTGTACTTGTGAATATTTACTAATAACCACGACTATAGATATTATGGTTGCGCAGCGATCTTCGAAAAAGTAGCCTCTAATGTTCTTATCAATAATGACAAAAACCTACCCATTACCAGCGCTCAACGCAGTTGTGTTAATAGTATGATAATAATAATAATGAATACTGACTAAATAATGGCTATTGATGCATTTTTAACAAGCTGCGCGCTGTATCACCACATAAATGATATTCTATTACTCTCCTCCAACCAAAACTTAAAAATAAAATATCTTATCAACAGATTGATGGAAATCAAAATTTTAACATTAAAATTTATTTTTAACTAATACTTTATTTATGGAAATTATAATATAGGTCGCTATTAGTAAATCAAAAGTAGGTAATGGTTTTACCCCCAAAAATAAGGGTGACAAAAAATAACATAAATATAAAATTGTAGGTTTGCTTGTTTTTTAAATGTTCTAGAAAACAAATTACGAAAAAAGTTAATACTTTTCTTATACCTACATAATATACAAATTACTTCCCCCTTACTTTATTTAGAAGATCTGTAGAAGTGTTTAAGAGGAAGAAATCACTCATTCTCGTAACAAAATTCTTACAATAATCCAATTTTTATTATTTTTATTACTTTTATTTGCTTATGAAACAATGTGTCTATAAAATTCCTAGTAATAATTCAACAATAAAACCTGTAAAAATAATACCTATTTGCTAACAAATTTTAATTTTTCATTTATACAGTACATTTGTGTGATATTTATTTTTACAATTTTTAGATTGTGAAATAATTTTCATGTCTAATTCAAAAGAAAATGATACATCTAAAAATGAAAATTTGCTAAGAATTCCTAATTCTGTGTCAGAAATTGAAAATAATATAGAAGATAATGAAAAAAATACTGTATCTGGTAATTTATTTCTGTATTTAATTTAATTTTAACTTTGATTTTGGATAAGCCCGGTTTTTAATGTAGTTAATAGAAGATCAAGGAATATGATTAGTTAAGGACAAACCAAGTAAAGTGAGATTATATTTGAAAATAGTTAATGGTGACTATTGGAATAAGGTGACATTGTATGAAGGCCTATATTAAGGATATTGGGTTGTTTTCAAAACCATAAAAAAGTATTAGGTGTGAATGAAAAGAGATGAAGATGTTTTATGAGTTGATTTTATGTAAAAAGAAATTGAATAAAACAAACATTGTTTAAAATTAAAAAGAATGGGTGGAATATATTTATATAGGTAGTACACATATTTTTTACATTTATTTTATTGTTGTTGTATTGATATTATTAATATCTAATTTATATTAATCAAAATATTATTATTATTATTATACCTATAGGCCCTGTAGAAAAAACCAAAAGAAGAACAAAATTAAATGTTTCTATAAAACTAGAAAATATATTGGGCGTTAAACCTTATTTTATTTCTGGAGACAGTTTGATCAAACGACAGAATCTTGGCAAGTTTGATGTTTATCTTAATATTATTTTATTAAATTTGAATACAATTATTTTTTAAAAACACAAATTTGCATGTAGGTTTTGTCTATAACTATATAAAATATAAATTTCTATTTTAATGTATAATAACATTCAATTTTAAATTCATTGCGGGTTGTTAGTTTTATTTAAATTATACTATTCTTAAATGGTTCTTATTTTCTTCGCATACTTACATTGTTACACATTTTTGTGATTAGTTTTGACGTTATCAGTTGATAGTTGAATTTATTTATTTTACAAAATTTCTTTTATTTCATATATTTCAGTTAAATTATTATAACTCAAATTATTATTTTTTATTTTAGAAAAGAATCAATATTTGAAACTGAAATCATGTTTTTCCACAATTGAGTCTTTAAATGCTAAGAAAACCAACAACAATAGTGCAGCTACTACTAAGGGTAAAACTTATTAAATAATTTGATGTTAAATGCATGTTGATACGCTTATTTACAGACTAATAAAAAAAAAAAAAAAAAAATGTTATACATATCTAGTAATTGTCTACATTTTATTTGATAAAAAGTTTAAATTAATGTTTATTATTAGTTATTAAGAAAATAAAATTAATATATAAATTATTGAAATCAAAAAAACTTTCCTAAATGATGTAGTAAAAGTATTTTTTTCTTTGTAGCCAAGGTAACCTAGAAATCAACAAATATACAGTCAAAGTATCAACATTTGTTGTCGCTTTTGAAGTTTTATATTATTTTGCATTGTGCTTTTTTATTAAACTTAAAATGATTTTTCAAAAAACAAAACGCCGCATAAGGAGTGAACTGTTTATAATTTCCAAAACTGTTTTAAGTTAAGTAACACCGGTCAGAAATTCTGCATTTTTTAATATACTGCATGAAAAATCGGATCATTAAACACATTAGTGTTCAAAGTGTTCAAAAAAATAAAAACAAAGTGTAATTTTTTTAGAAATTGTTAGAATTTCAAATACAGTATCTGTTCCATCTGCATGTCGAAACTTATATGGTATCAATAATTTCATTTAGTTTAATACATATCAGGTATTTATTAGTTTAAAGAACGAAGTGTATGCAACCACTTACTGTAGGAAAATGAAAATACTACATAAAATGTTGGGCATTCATATTATCAGTTCTACCTTACACGTATATTGCTAATACAGAATACATACCAAGTATCATAAAATACATGATAATAAACCAACTACTTTGACAATCAAGCTATTTTTAATGTTTGATCTAGAACTTAGGTGATGTTTTACATCCTGAAATACTGTTGCATTTATATACTCCATTCCAAATAAGAACGCGCCGGGTGGCAGACGATAATCAGTCAAATTTCGCGCAGCCGACCAACGGCGACCAATTGCAAAGCTAATAAACAAAGGGTATGACGTCGCTCCGCAATACATTTGGATGCGCCGAGCGATGTGTTCTTATATGGAACGGAGTATACGTATATGGACCATTACTTAATTCCTTTTTTCTACTTCAAAAATGATGCGTTCTAATTCTAAACAATTACTGTTATTTTCTTGATGTATAAATGATATATATATATATATTCACATTGTCAACTACTATATGATGAGTCTATTTATTAGTGTTCATATTTATTTTAAACAAGACACTATCATCTATTACTATATCTTTCGGATTTTTAGAATCCTTATCATAAATTAATTTTTGTTTCAGTTGCTTCATGGATAGATTATGTTTCACATAAGTTGTATCTAATTTGATGAGCTCTAATTACTTTTTAAATAATATATCAGACATCTCAACATTAATAACTTTACGTTCGAAAACACAACTCGAGTAAACTCTGATGTCGTTTGAGATATCAGAGTAAACTCTGGTGTCGTTCGAGATATCAGAGTAAACTCTGGTGTCGTTCGAGATATCAGAGTTAACTCTACACTGCCGTTCGGGAACGCAGAGTCATTAACTTCGAGATTTATCCTGGGGATATTTCTGTAGATTAATATGGAAGGCTTAATACTTTATTTTTCGTTTATATTTACATATACACACAAATCTTTTGGCTTGACCCTTTTTGGAAAATGTGGATTGGTTGTAATTTAAGATATATTCCATTCTTTGAAAAAGTATCTAAATTTAAAACTGATAAACACGTAATTTTCTGATATTATTTTATCTAGAAATTCATGAACTGAAAATATCTATCAGCTTATTACTTATCTCATTTATAGACTTATCTTAGACTTTCTTCAATTGTAACAATTTTGAAAATTAATAAATTTATAACCACCAAATACAACCTTGAATTGAATTCTAGAATGTGCATCTCTACTTTCTGCGATGATCTATCTGGTATTTTGTCACACTATTGAAAATTTACAATTTTTATTTTTATAAGTGTCGTACATTTCATAATTTTTTATTTTCTGTTCAATTATTTGTTTTTATATTAATCCAATATACTTTTTCTTTCCCTAGCTCAAGATTTCTATTTAATGATACCCATCAAATTGTTGTATTTAAAGGTGTTTTTACTCTAAAACCAAAATTAATAAAGTGTTCTATGCAGAGTATGTAAGGTAGATTTTGCTATACTGCCCGTTGAATTAAGATATCACATGCGGTTACAGTGTTCTCTTAATGATAAAACTAATAATTTAGTGAAACTCGGAATCTAAATTACTACCATAATTAAATATTATACAATTTAAAATAATGATATATATTAAATTAAAATAATAACAATAATATTAGTTTTAATTTTAATGCTATTGCTACTGCTCGATCATCTTGAAGGCTTTTATACCTTTTCGAATTTCCCATTAGATTGCCATTTGAAAATTAAAAATTGATAACCGTTTCAATCCTAAATATAAGGGCAAAAAAATAAGTATAATGCTTTTGAGTACATAATTTAAAAAAGTTTCATAAGTAGTTTTTTGAAAAATAAATATTTTATGGTAAATTTGACTGTAACATTACATTTGGAAGGTTACCTATACAGTAATCCTTAATTGTATCATGATCTAAATTTTCACCTTGGTATTTTCATAGTTTTTATTTTTTGTATTTCATGCACAATCATAGATTTATTATGGACTAGGATCGCCAATTAAAAAAAAAAATACTGCTTTCCATTATTATTTGGCTATTGTATTGTATGCACTCTACTAAAGTTTGCGATCTGTCAGCGGTTATGGGATGCTTGTCGTAAACGATCTACTACGCGATTACAATAGTATTTACAATTTATTGACTTATCACCCTCCTTGCCTACATACTCTATTACTTATATTAGACAAATGAGATGGATTGTACTTCCCCTGCTGGCCTAGGACTGACTTGCTTGCCGGATGCATTCAGTGGTGGGTGTCTCTGCCCGCGTAATTGGTCCTTTCGTTGCTGATTAATAATTTTGTTGCACTAAGTACTTGAGTTTTGAAACTTGGTAAAAAGTTTCCTCTTGAGGCACTGGAAAACCAGAAAAAAAGAAGCCAAGAGTGTTTGTCATCTCGGATTTTAAGTGACCTTTTACGATTTTTAATAGTATCTTCAATAATGTTAATTCGACGGAAAAAAAAATAGTTTGTCTATAAATTAAAGTGTGTCAAATTTTCACTAATAAGATTTATATTCAGTACTAACGTCAGTGTAATTTATAGTTGACAAAATCTATACACCAGTGGTACAATGTGGTATCGCATGCAATTATAACTAGCGAGTAGGTGACAAACGCACCAAAAACGTAAATTTAATTTTTATTATTGTTATATTAAATACACGTTCTGAAGTAACGTGTATTATTTAAAAACTTTTTATACGACAATGTGGATGTCTTTAATAAACTTTGTCACCTACAACTAAATCGTATAAACTAAAATAATCTATAATCTATTTTCTTATCTGTGCCCCACTCAATTAGTAGTTCCTTAGCTATGGAACATGGGGGCACTATGGGCACGTGCTGGTGTCCCTTAAATTGTTACAAACAAATAAGATTTAAAGAAGTAGTTAAATAACAATATATTGATTATACGTCAATAAATGGGGGGGCAGTGTTTAACCCCCCCCCCCATTCCTTTTTTCACATGTTTTAGCCTAATAATTTGATTCATATTATTGTATACTTTGTTAATTTTACTGTAAAAATTGTGGTATATTTTGTCATACTGTTAGAAAACGCATAAAAACCACGGACTAAAAAAAGATAGACTAGAATGTGTAGGCGGGGTGGTGATGCTGATCACCAAATGTTTCCTGTTCAAAATTACAAGGTATTGAGCACTATCTATATACTATAGTCTGTTTCAGGAGAGAACGGGCCGCTTGTGCGCATGTTTACCCCTCCACATAACTTGATTTCAGCGAAGGCAGCCGATTGTCATTTCTTTCCTCGTCGGTTTTTAACTATACACCGCTAGGATATTTTGTAGAAATTCAATTGTTATTATTATCAGACATCGCGCATCGCACGTTTTTTTACCTTTGCTGTTTTATAACCTGTTGATGATTTTTCAAATCGTAAACAATCGTATATANATAAGCACCTTCTATAATAATCCAGACTTTGTTTTTTTTGTATACATATTTATTTATTTAATATTTTATTGAACACTGTAGGTATGTAACAGAGATATATATTTAATAAATAATAAATAATTATATTAAAACATTTCATTTTTTTTTTCGTTAAAATTACAATTTATCATTTTTGTCATATTTACATAATTTTTTTAAAATAATTAAAAAAACTGAGAAAAAAGTAAAAATTACCAAACGGTACAAAAAAATAAACGCTATAAAAATGAAGTGTGCGTACACCACGGCAATTGGCGATAAACAGTGGACTATCGACAGTTAACAGTGCATTATTTGAAACGCAGTGTACAACACCTGCACCACTTCTGCGGTCGCTGTTGCAGCGCTGTCGATAGATCCGGGAGGGGATAAATGGATAATGTTGCGGCGTGGGGATGCGCTGTGGTGATTCGGTTTGGTCGGAGAGCGGCCCATTCTCTCTATAAACCAGATATGATATTTATTTTTTTATACTATGTATAAANATCGACAGTTAACAGTGCATTATTTGAAACGCAGTGTACAACACCTGCACCACTTCTGCGGTCGCCGTTGCAGCGCTGTCGTTAGATCCGGGAGGGGTCTATAAATGGATAGTGTTGGGGTGTGGGGATGCGCTGTGGCGATTTGGTTTGGTCGCAGAGCGGCCCGTTCTCTCTATAGACCAGATATAGGTATCCCAAAGCGAGTAATGACACGCGTCAATTCAAGATTTTCAATGTAGTGAAGAGTACATTGGTTTTACAAAGATGTTAACATTTTTTTTTTTTTACTATGAACAATTTCTACCAGAAATATTGCCCTTATATGTACGTGTAGCACTATTTCTGAAAAAAAAAAAAGCATTGTTTATTATTGCAATAGAGCAGAAGCTGCTTTAATTAATTTGAAATCAAGAGGTACATTGACTCATCCAAATCATTTTATGTTTGACTTTCTATCTTCTTTGGAAAAATCATTCTCTAAATATTATGGTAATTCTAATGCTTTTTTACTGGCAGTTAAAAATTTCATTAATACTAATAACAATGTTTTACATTTTCCATGTAAAGATCACAAGACTAAAATTCTTACATATATTATAACTTATTATATTACTGTATGAATATGACAGTATTCTCTTGTTTCTGACAAGGATCAAAATAAAGTTAACGCAAGAAAAATAAATTTACTTTGAATCTTCATGTGTTAGTCTATGGTTAAAATAAAAACAACAGGATAAGTGAAATTTCTGTGTACAATTTTTTTAAAAACAAGAATTATTGTTAAAATTATTTATTCATAGATGGCGTTGATTGTCTTGTACCGATCGTAGGGGAACATTTCGTTAAGACATTCGTTACCAGTCCATTCTTTCTTAGTTCGTAATAATAGCAGATATAGTAAATTATAATTTATCCTCATTATGAACACGTTATTGTTAGTAAATTAGTTGAACAAAACACTTCTAAAACTTTGTCCAAAGATCACGAATTAAGATATACAGGATATCGAATGAACGTGTGATAAGCGCGAACCTTCTCACTTCTGCTAAGCCACTAACACCATCTAGTGTACTCTTTACAAACTATGTCAATATTATAGAATAGATATGCAATTTATTTAATAAGAGTATTAACTCTTCCTGTCCAAACTTTAAACTGGTTTATTTGATTATTTTTACCAATTTTGTCTTTAAGCGTTTGCTATCATACCAAATAGTGAGAAGTGTGTGGTCTCAGAAAATCGATAAGATCTTTCCGTTCGGTATTCTGTATATCTTCATTCGTACCAGAGATCAAATATGCTTTTGGCGGGTTACACCAAGACACGAGGTTTAATGATAAAGTAATAAAGAAACGTTTATTTACGACATAACAACATTAGTGGTAAAAATCAATTATACATGATGGTTCGGAGTCGGAAAACAATGTTTCGCGAGCGGCGCTGGTGCGAAGAGAGCGAGCGGGACGATCGAGCGGAGCTGTGGTCGATGACTATTGAACGCCGACGGCGAGGGGAGTGTCCGACGTCCGCCGCGAGTGATGCGCAGCGGGAAGCAGAAATGTGGCGCGAAACCCGCCACATGCTATTATAATTATTATTATCATTTATCACGGGTTTCAGCAAACCGTGAGTGTGGTTTGGACCACAATTTGTGGTTGTGGTTTATGACTATTCTAACAAGTAATGAGTGATTACAATATTTGATACATTCGTGTGTTTATATTAATAAATGTGACTATTTTCTGGGAAATAGTACAGCCTGAAGACGTTTTGAATCAATTAGCAGTGAAAAGAAAAATACATCTATTGTAAATTAACAGTAAAATATTATAAGACTTTCATATTTTAGTATATATCAATTGATTATTGTTTTTTTTTTCTATATACACTACTGAACCTGGTTCTTGAATGTCTCAATAAGAATATACCTAAGCTTTGAGCAAAAAGCATTTTTTTGAAGATGTACAATTAACTTATAAAGTGATAAATAATATAAGGGCCTTTAGGACTATCGAGCTTTGGGCTCGATAAACTCTTAATTTGGTCTTGAATTTATCAGTTTTCATTTATTGGATAACAACGGAAATTGATACCTACCTACTACTTGCCGAAGTACGACCAGCAATGGAGATACTCGAAGCCGGCAGCCGGGAGAACAATAGTTCGTTCAACGAGAGAATAGTACTGCGCGGCGGACAAAAATTAGTCGTTTCTCCCTACTAAAGCACAAAACCGCTACAGGCCACCAATTGATCTCTAGGATACAGTGTCATGTTTCAATGTAGTCATTACGATCCATAATGTTGTGTTCGACATTTTGCATAGCACTATATTATATTTTTGTATTATTGTCATTGATATAATACGTATAAAAACATCCGTAATAAATTTGGTTTAAAGCATATTATAATAGCCGATGCGTACAGCAGCTTATATGATTCTTTGATTCATTATGTGTATTAAATAGTTTTAGTTGTAGAGTGTATTTTTAGTAGAGCGCCCGTAATTTCTGTGAATCGTATGGGCGAGCGATACTATTTTCTTGTTGAACGAGCTATAGTTCAACTAATTTCATAATTGAAATTGAAGGGAAATAATAGTGGCACTTCGGCTCAACGGCACACATTTTTAAAATCTTTTTGGTTCATTAAGCTGTCCCGGTCCTGAATGTGTTACAATTTATAACTTACAAGTTATAAATAGAGATATTTTCATACAGATGTATACAAAGATACAATAACATATATGATTATATAAATTATATGCAAACTGGGAGATGAGTTGGATTAACTCCCCCTTTGCAACATTTGTAACGGGCTGCACTCATTCCAGTTATCTTAGGACAGCTTTTTTTTTTTTTTTATATGATTTGTTGCAGTTTATTGTTACATAATATCAGTTGTTTTTAAGTCAAAATGTTGACACTGTAGTACTAGGTAATGCACCTATGTTTTTTATTATTATTTTTACTTTGGGACAAAAAACAAAGTAGTCTAAAGTGAGTTGTATAGCTGAAACAATGGATAGTTTATTTGATTTAATTTAAACTAGTGAAGAATGTAAATTTTTGATTACTCAGCTTATCGAAGAATTCAATGGATATAAACCTGACCCCTAGAGACATTGAGACTATTTGAAAATTATAGTAATGACATTTTAATATCTGAAAGGAATAATAGAGGTTCTATTCTTAGTTTCATGTAATTAAGTGAGAAACTTTTATATGCAAACTGGTATGTAAATAGAAATATGTGTGTTCAGAAAAAATGATTAAGAATTGTTTGAACAGATTCAAGGAAAAACTTCCCATTGACTGGAATATTGGGGCATTATATAATATGGTTAATTAACAAATATAATACAATTTATTAATTGGTGGTTTTGCCATCATTATGGCTTATACATACTAAATCTATTAATAAAATACAGGTGAATTGAACCAATACAGGTGGAGGTCTCTATTGTGTCAAATTTCAAACACTCTTTCAACTTCGCACATTACATCATTTACTTCTTACCAGAAGATTTGTAAATATTGCGATAGTGTCAGTGGTGCCTAAGTACTAAAAATGTAATCTGGTAAAATACTTGTCAAGAAACCCAACTGTTTAGTTATGTTTAGTTAAACATAGCACATTTTATATCCAAAATTATAGTTAGTATAAAGTATTCGTTCAGTTTTACAACCAAAGTTTGCCCCAAAATGAAGCAGCTCTATTCTTTATATTTAAAAACAGAATCTGGCCAAGGCCCGACCTAATCATAGAGTTTGACACTATTGGATGGAGTGGTAAATACACAGTAGACCGCAATTAAACAGTATAGCGCATATGATAAAATAACCTATTATTTTAAATAATATAATATTCATTTTGGAAATTTCATAGTTTTAAATTTAAATTTATTTTTAGTTTTAATTTGTTATAGTGTAGTTGGTTTACAATTCATATTATAAATATAATGAACATAATCATTTAGTTACCAACATAATAGAGTACAATATTTACATTGCTTACATTGTGCAAATATACAAATAAATTGAGACTTGAAAAATAAGTTTAGAATTTGTACTTTAGATTTTTTATCCAATCATAATTCTTATTAAAGCAAAAGTTAATTTCAAATTAACAAATTCGTTAACTCCAATAAATGTAATAATGGATAAAACAAAATGATAATGAAAATACTTATTAATTATTATGATTAACATTACTGATGATTACAACTTTTGTCTCATAGTTATTTTTATCAGTAAAATTTATATTTTTATTTCTTATGCCCCTTAGCTTTATTTCGCAATATTTTTTACCTAATAATTTAAATTGTTAATATCATAATTTAATATTTGAAGGCATAAAAATATAATTTTGTAGTTATAATAATTATTTTTATTTTACTTATTGTATATTTAATAAAGAAGCCAATAATTTATTTTAGATAAACCATTGAATTATAATTATACTTCAAGCGAAAGTGATTATTCAGAATTAGAGTATTCATCAACACCCAAATATTTGACAGTTATGGAGAGCAAATTAAATACTTTTAAAAACGAAGTTAATAAAAGTAGGATTTCTCTGTTCAAATTGTTTCATTTTCATATATATTTATGTATAAATTAATATTATTATAAATGTTTATTCAGGATATGGTGTCAACAAATTGATAGCTCCTACAAAACCTAAGGAAAACAACCCAAAACAAAATCTTGACAAAAAAAATACTGTAGTTAATAATCCATTATGTAAGTTTAGAGATAATTCAAGTGGTTAGATATGTGTTTTTTTTATTTTTTTTATTATTCGTCTTAAATTAATTAATCACTTTAAAGTGTATTCCAATTTTATTTTAGTTTTAATTGTGGATATTAACTTTCCGATACCTAAATTAATACATTTAACAAATTTAACGTTGTATAGGTATTTGTAATCTGTTAATTGATCATTTATAAACATTTATAATAATAGTAAATGTACTATTATTATATATTGCTGAATAAATTAAATTGATGATTAATTTTATTTTAGATTATTCAACCAATTGTGATGCCACTATAAATAAAAATAAACGATCTAAATTATCAAATACACCAGTCTCGAGAAATGTGTTAAATAAAAAGAAGAAAATCAATACTGACGATGAATTTATTGAAAGTAAGGGTTAATTATTTAAGTATATGGATATTATACATTTTGGATTTATATTTTATTTATAATATATATGTATATATATATATAGATTTATGTCTAGAAGATGATATTGATAAGAAATCTGGTTCACGTAAAAAATCTTGGGTAAAAGAATTGGAAGAAAAGGATATTTATCTTAACAAAGGTAAAACTGTTGTTGCTGAAAATAGATTATGTAAGTTAACTTTTGAATAATTTGGTATATTTAGTAATAGACTGATTTTATTTTTAGTAATATTCATTACAACCAACTAATAATTGGTTGATATTACTGATTAATTAGATAATTTAAAATTTGTACAATCAACTAATTTAAAACCATTAAACGTTAACTTATTATTCATTAGTCGTTTGTCATTTAATCATCGATTAAAAATAGTCATTAATCGTTAGTTGAATATATTTATCTCGTAAGTTGATTAAATTAGTTATACAGCACTACATTCTAAGTTATTACATTATTAGTTATGTTACAATTCATTAAATTGTAAATTAGTTTTTAGTTTTAAATTCTATGATATACTGTTTTATTTCCATGATGATTCACATACATACAACATTAATTTTTCAATTATAATTCCATAATTAGTAATATAGTTATTATAATCTTTGTATTTGTGTTTAAGGTCTTCCATTAAATAACAATTCTACTTTAAACAAAAGAGCTCGATCTACATTGGAAAATTCATCAGCACCCATAAATGTAATAACTAGTAAGAATAGATTGAATGGACATATGGAGACATACAGAGATGATGTTGAAAGTAAATTTTATTTTATTAATAGTAGCATAAATTCTTTTATAATTAATAATAATTGTTACACATGTCTTTAGGAGAAACTAAAAAATTAAGACCAACACCACCAAAAAAACCTAAAAGAAGAATTAATACAGCTGGTGACCATATGCGTGAGTTAATTTTCAATATATTTTATTCTAATTAAGAATTTTAGATTTGATCAGTTTTCTTAGGTATAGGTCATTTTTTCATTAAATGTGAAATGCTATTGCTGAATCATGCCATCTAAATATGTTCTGATAACCAAATATTTTTTTTTTTATTATTTTGTACTTTATTTTGGATATGTATGATTAGTATTACCTAAGGTGGAAAGGTGTCTTATTTATGATGTTATAATGTTGTAATTTGTTGTTCACAACAAAACAATAAGAGAGAGGAGGGAGTTCAGGGGTTTTGTATTAATTGAATACCTTGATAATTCAATTAATGTATCTATAATTTTTATTTTAGATCATTCGAGTAATGGAAGTTCAAATGCAAAAAAAAGTAATCATTCTGGCTTGTTAAGTTTATCAGAATCCACAAAGTTGTCAATGAATAGTAAACAAACAATTGAGCAAGTAGCTGAAGGTATAACAACACATTTATTCTAAAATGTTTAAATACAATCATTTAAATTGTATTAATATATTTGCACAAGTATTTTAATTACAATATACAAGAGTTTTTTTTTTTATTTAACAATATAATAAATTAAAAATTTGTATACAATAAATATAGGGTCTGGTACAGGAGTAGACCTTAAATATATTGTTAATTATAATTTCCAACAATTTTTATTTATATTCAAAAATATATTATGGCATGTTATCTAAGAAGAACATTGTAAAATGATATGTCTGAGGTGATGGCCATCTTCACTGATACAATTTTGAAATCTCTCTCTGAAGTTAGTGTTCACTTGGTTTAGAAAATTTAAATTGATATCTTTGACTTTTTTTTATGAATGAGTCTTAAAATCTTCCAGAGGCCATGAAAATGTTTTTATATTAGATGTTTGTGCAAATTTTAAGTAAACTTATTAGTCGGTAGTACAAGATGAAAACCGACTAATAGTCAGTAGCAATACATAGTTGTTTCTGCCTATCACTAGTTATTACATACTAATAAATATTAAATGTAAAATCAAGTCTATTCTCGTGCTGGGCCCTGCATAAAGAAAAACATTGTGTAGGAATATTATAATTGGATGTGTTTTTATTTGGTACAGCCTTTTTCAGTTTTTGTTGTACCTATTAATGGTTTTTAAATCAAAACTGGCCATAAATATACACAACCAATTATAATAATTCCGGACAAGTGTTTTCTTCTTATTATTTATTTACATATTTTACATACTTTATTATATTTATTATTATATTTTTTATTTTATTGTTATATTTTTGAGTATTAACCATTTAAATATTTATTGTTTTTTTTTTTTTTTAATAACTCAACCTGTTATTATCTTATTGTAACATAGTAACCTGTACTGTTATTAATTCGACTTCATCCGTTTATGTAAATAAAATAAAATCACTTATCACTTTAAGTATGATAATTGATGTGATATCTTATCAATAAATACATAAATTTCTTACCATACTTTTAGTGTTCATATAATATTATAATGCACATTTTTTTGAAATTATTATATTATTATATTATATTATAATATTAATTGACATACTTCTTTTACTAAGCTCCTTAAAAATTATATTCTGAAACAGACTCATGGTTTGTCTGTTTGTTTCCTTTTTAATTATTCGCTTTTTTCTATCGTATATCCTTTTATACCTATTCTTTCGTCATTTTTTGATGAAGGTATTTTGTTGTGTGTTTAAAAAACCAGTTCAATAACCTTTGTTCTTATGGGTATTGAATAAGGTTAATGTGATCTTCGTGGAAATTAGAAAAGCTTTTGATATAACTAATTATTATATCTTAATAACAGAACTTAGATTATTTGATCTTTGTAATCAATCTACTTGTGGTTCAAATATCTTACCTCACTGTTAGAAAGCAATTTGAACCAATTATTGAAACTACCTTCATTTTATCTGATGTACTGTCTGATGTTTTTTTCAGAGGGCATCTTAGTTTACCCATCTTCATTTTATTTGTCAATCCAAATGAGTTACCAAGACATGGTTCTTACAATTTGCTAATGATGTACAAATCTTCCTGAAAATAGCTAGCTAGATATATTTTATTCATGGGTTCAGTACCTGGGGTTATCAATAAATTTAGACAAATGTGGCATGATTTTTACCAGGTGTTATTATTTTTTTCCATTTTTCAGTCAAACAACTACAATGGCTACCCTATTCAGCGTGTGTCTCTCTTTAAAGATTTTGGGATTTTTTATTCTCCATCATTTAGCTTACATCAGTTTACTTCGGCCTCAACTCTCTATATTCTATTTTGGGCTTATCCGTTTCTTTCCAAAACACAGTGTAGTCACTTGGCAAAAGACCAAATTCAAATCGATCATATGCAAAACAAATATCTTTCCTATCCCATATCTTGAAAATTGATCACACTCATCATGACTAATTTTCTACTCTGGAGAGAGTAAGCCTATCGTTCCACAATTTATTGTTGTTTCTTTGCGTCTATCTCCTTGACATCACTATAAACATATCTACTCTTCTATCATGTATTTTTTTCCAAATACCTACCAACTTTACAAAGGACTTTGCGCTTTTTCTCATCCCGCCTAATTCTACCTCTTACAGACAAAATCATTCTCTTCACTGTATACTGCACTATGCTGATTCTAGTAACTTCCTTATTTAATGCCGGTTCATTTTTTGGTTACAAAACCATGTAATGCTGTGTGGTTTATTTTTTATTTTTATGATTAATAACCTATAATAGTTCATTATGCACTACAATGTAATATGTATTAATTGTGTTTATCATAATTGTATGTACATATACCTACCTAGTGATATTTTTAAATAGTATGTGAAAAAGCTGATTAGCTTTAATATTATAAATAAATAACACAATAATTTAATTTTTATCTATATGCGTGTCCTCCTGACATAAGATTCAATTAAATAAAATGTGAATATTAACAAAGATATTGGTATAGCCCAGTGGGACACCCTATGTTTATGATTTATATTTCGAGAATAATGTAATTTTTAATCTGATATTTATTTTTAAATTTCAGTTTCTAAAGCTATCAATGATTATGCATTAAATAAATTAAAGGCATCAACAAGTCATTTTCCGGAATCACCTCCTGAGTCACCACCTGAATCACCATTAACAGTTATTGAAGAATCTGAAAATGACAAGGATGCACAAACAACAGATGGTTAATTTATAAATATGATATTTTAATAAAAATTATTTTTCTTACGTCCATACACTATTAATTTCATATGTGAACTTAAAGATGATGATGATTATGTCAAAACCAGAAGAGTTACGAGGAAAGAACCTGAAAAGAAGGAACAAGATGATCAACTTGATGATGCAGACCGTTCAATTTTCGAAATGTACGCGTATGAAAAACCAAGTAAGTTACTTAATAGTTTATTTACATAATATACTTATATATATTTTTGTATAATAAAAAAAAAAAATGTATTGCCTGTGCCAGTAAACTCCCTTACTAAAAGGATCTGTTAAATACCAGTTAAATACCAATTAATATGTGGGGTTATCCTTATCAATCTATCGTAAGATACTCATTATTTCTGAAAGTATTAATTAAGTTAAAAAAACGATACGTGCCGTGTCGCCTGACAAATGATACACCATTACTCTCTCTCGACCCAAACTTTAAAGTGGAATATATCGTGACGGAAATCAAACATTTTAATACCAACAATTATCTTAACTAATAAGTACTCCATCTATTTATGGAATTTTTAAAATAGTTAGCCAATTGAATACTAAAAGTAGGTAGTAGTTTTACTACTGAAAATAACACAAAAGTAAAATTATTATGCTGCTTGTTTCTTAAATGTTTTATGAAACGAATTTCGTAAAAAATAAGTACTTTCTGAATGATCACTCTGTATAATATGTACATTGTAGAGACCAATTTTTGGAATATACATCATTCAATTTAATATCCAATTTGCGTTGCTGTAGAATGAAAGAAATAAAGAAAACATTTTGTCAATGGAAATCGTTTTTTTTTTATTGTAAAGCAAGTGAATGGACTACATTCAGATGGTTGCACTTTATTGATATTATCATAGTGAACGCAAGGTGTATTAGAAATTGAAGTTCTTTGAACTCGAACGCTATATCTGATGGAATTAGTGGCATTCGTGGAAGTAAACTTTTCAAAAGTCATGATATCATCATTACAACAAAAATAGGATTCCTGAAATGCTATATGTTCTCTATTCTGTTGTATGAGGCCGAATCCTGGACACTAAATGAAGAAATGTGTACAAAACTAGAGACTTTTGAAATGAGAATCTATAGGAAAATGCTTCGCATGTCATGGACACAACATATAACCAACTAGGAAGTACTCCGAAAGATGAATAAAAAGAAGGTCCTCCTTAATGCTACAAAGATTCGCAAATTATAATTATATTAGTAATTATATTAAAGTTACATTATGAGAAATCAAGCAAAATTTGGTTTACTACAGTCCATTATTCAAGGAAGAATAAATGGAAGAAGAGGTCCAGGACATACACCAACATTATGGATGTAAAATCTTAGTAAGGGTATGGTACAATAAAATGTCGATCGAACTCTTTAGGACAGCCACAGACAAAGAAGTGATTGCTATGCTGGTCACTAATATCCGAAACATATAAGCACTTTCAGAATAAGAAGTGGAAGTAATACGACTTCACCTTTATGAGGTCCAATCAGTATTGTGGCATAAATTAGATTATTTATTCATTTTTTAAACTTAATAATCGTGTATCATTGCATAACTTGGTTGACTAATGTTTTTGAGTAATTTTCGAATTTAGAATCTGTGACAATTATCCGGAAACATTGAGTGCATTAAGAAATTCCATTGGGAATTCCACTACTTCAATTTTGTCCACGGAGTTAATAGATTTGTTTCTAATCATAAAAATCACTGTTTTCACCTGCGATACGTTTAAAAATGATATTCATATATATGTCGATATTTTTAGCCACTAGAGTTCTGTTCAACCATGCGTGATTTTAATAATTTATTTCGATGCTTTGGAATACCTTGCTTACTAATTATTGTTTTGAATTTATGATGTTGCAAAAATCAGATGGGAAGGTGATTTTTACTACTAATGTATTTATAGGTACAGTTCCATCACCAACTTCTATTACCTAATTGTCTTGAAAATCCGTCAGTTGTTGGATTATTTTAAAGTCAAACTCTAATATTCGTTGGTAAATGCACTTTATTGCTCCAAAAAATTAAATATTTCTAGTAGGTATGCAATTTATCAGCTGGTGTTGAGCAAGGTATCACTGGAAGTGTTTGCCTAAAGTCTCTGGATTGTAACACTGATGCTCCACGAAATGGAACCTGAATATTTCACAAGTCTTTCAATTTATGATTTAACATTCATCCCACACAATGATTTTGTACACCCTAAGAAATTTTCCCATTACTAATGTTAAATGTTGGGTTTTCTGTAAATTACATGTTAGTGACAGTTTTAGAGCAGAATGCTCTGTTCTACAACTTCCATAAATGTGGCAGTAATACTTGAAGAAGCAAGCTCTGATGCATATGTCCATTAGAACGAATTTTAGCCAGGATCAAGGAAATTAAGAACGTTTTTCCAGTTTCACATGGAACATCTAAAAAGTAGAATCCACCGAATTAGTTGTCCACAACTTGTATGGTGGTATTAAATGCTATCTTTTGTTCTTGAAGAAGTTTCGGTATATTTTCTTCTTAGACACACAGCTGTAAGTCCTTTCTGTTGTATGATCTCGGAGCTATTATCTCTTTAATATTGTTTTGATAGACCTATCTGGTGCTGAAACTCCCAATCATTAAAATCATATGTATGCAATGTATTGGTTTACAAAGATGTTTATTTTTTTTTTCTGTGGATCAAATTTTCTGTTAGAACAGTATAAGTTTTATTTAATAATTGTATGTATATTTATTTTATTTAATAAAGTTATTTTATTTAGTGACACATAAAAATTATTGCAAAATTAAAAAGAATTGTAAATTTTTAGTTAAATTGAATTAATTTCTATGTGATGCATGTAGTATATATCCTATTCTAATGAAGTTTATTTACTATCTTCAAGGTGAATTAATAAATATATATAAATGTTTTTTTTTATTTGTTTAGTTTCTAGAGCAGCCAAGGTGAAAGCAAATGAAGCTATTGCGCAAATGAGCAAATCTGTGTGCAAAGACAAAAAATTGGATCCAACAGTTAAACGAATAAAATGTACAAAAAAGAAAGATGATGTAAGTTTACTGTAATAACTTTAAAACTTTAAATATATTTATTATTTATTGTACGCATACAAATCTGATTCTTGGTAAAATAGTTTGTAAACAAAATCTTTCAAGTCCAGCTGTAAATAGATTTTAGAAAAGTAAGGGGTCCTTTGTAACAAGTTCACGTTTGAGCATAACTTACAATATTGGTTTGCTAGTTGTCACCTGTTAATATAATTATTTACAATGTCCCCTCCTATTATCTTACCCTGAATCCCCCAACCCTTCTATGAGGTGTATACAAATTGATAGGTAAATACATTATTAATGTAGATAAAATGTAAATATGCTCTCAGCAGTTAGAAATAGTAATAAATATTTTAAACTATTCTTAAAAATACAAAATTATTTTTTCTTGAAACTAGATGTCTTCTATTCTTTCTTTAAATTACATATCTACATAGGCACACAGGATTCAGTTTTTACATTCGTAAAAAAAATTGTCCACTGTTTACTTAATATTGTTGAGGATCCATTATCCAGAATTAATCCTGTAGAGTCATTTTCCATACTTATTTTAACAACTCTTTTCAATTTTTATTCTAAATTCAGTCCATGTTTTTATATTTTATTTAGCTGTAAAATTATACTTTTTGTTTCTTTTCAAAGATTAAAAATCATTGTGCACTACAAAATTAAATATATCAGAATTTTTCTTCTATAGGGTTTTTAATGATACTTTTTTGTAGTGTAATATACCACAGTACCTGTAGAGCCCTGAACAATACTTTGTTATTGTAATATTTTAAATTATATGTGTTGAAGTTATAGTCTTAACTCTAGTTTCAGGGTCATACCTCCCTTATCAATTTTATAACCCAAAAGAGTTACACTATCTTTAAACAACTTACATTTACTTTTTCTAATAGTGAACCTAACTAAACTTCACTTGTTCAATACTTTTTTACTCTATTACAAACTTCTTTTTCTGATTTTCTGGATATTATTATTTCATCGTAAAAAGCTACTGTAGCATCAAAATTCTTTAATACATTTTCCATCTCACACAGTACTATACCTGGCACAGTTGTATTCCATACAGTATATACAAAAAATCTTTTATGGACATACAGTGTAATTAACTTTTTCAATACTTCATCTAATAATAGTTACTGATATAAGCATGACATAAGTCTCAAATGCAAAATTTAGATGTGTCTTGCAATAAAGTCATTAAGCCACTTACTTTTGGAATATAATATTTATCAATTTTAAAAACTTATTTAAAGCAACTTTGTAAACAACACCCTATTCAATTGTTCCTTTACTTTTAACTGCTGGAACTACAGGTGTAGCCCATTTTTGACTGAAATTAACAATTTATCATTAACTAGTAACCTAACCTAACCTCACTTTGTTTTTTTGAAGTAAAAGGTAGAACCATTATGTTTTTAGGACTTTCTAGGTGATTTTTTAGGTCATAAATGCATGCATATTTAATGTTTTTTTTTTATTGTACCTAGTCTTAGTTATAAATAATAGTCTATAATGTAATAGACTATGATCTATTTTACCATAGAAAAAATAAAAGACGACAAATATATAGTATAATAGTTTACATTTACACAATATTTTGTATAATGTATATTTTTAATAGAAAGTAGTACATTTTTCCAACACAATTTCAAATGCATTGTTAGCAAATTTGATCGTGACAGTAGTAGCTCAGCACCTACTGATAAGTTTTAAATGGATTTAATTAAGTTAATAAAATTATTAAAGTTAAAATTGTTTAGTAAAAAAAACTTTAGGATCACCGGGATATTGGAATTTTTCTGGTGAGTTACATATGGTGGCTAATAAAAGAGGTTGTAATTATTAGAAAGCGCTTAAATGTGAATGAACTGGTTTTTATTCAAATTATATGTGTAGTTAAGTTTTTGTTAGCAGAAATTAATGCCCTGCGCAATATGAACACATGTCGGTAAGTACACTATATGTGTGTTTTACAACTTTCGATTATTACTACCGCTATCACGCCAGACGCACCAGTGAATCGATGTGTTATCGACTTATCACAAAATTATATATGTATATATACAGGTACATAAGGAACCAAACAACATATTTGGTAGGCATATCTAGACACGACTGGTCTAATAATTAAAATATTACAAAATTTATGAATTTTTCAATAGATTGGTAAATTTATATTTACTCTAGTTATGTTAAGACCAGAATTTAGACTAATAAAATTCGTAATTTAATAATATAAATAATTAAGTTACTTAAGGTCATATATTTACTAGGTTGGGTTTAGTGGTAACTCACGTAAACAAAGAATTGTATACTTTTAAGTTCTGCATAAAATATTGCTAATATAAGGATCTATAAAGTGATAAACTTCTAAGTATTTACCCAAACCCCGAGGACTGGGACGCATTGTCGGTCTGAAAGGATCAAAGAAATAGGCTAATATAAAATCTATTGTGAGAGAAATCAAATTTCTTAGATAACCGATTAAAATACTCCATTTATTATCTCAGATGTTTTTGTCCTCGAAATAAAATTCCACTACCTGGAACACGTTTTTTTATGCTAAATGTTTCATCTAGATGGGTAAGTCTATGGGTACAGTTCTCCCAATTTTGATAACGAGATATCATCAAAATCCAATTTTAGAAGATCGGTTACGCCCACCTTAGAAACATAAATTTCTTACGCATGAATAAAATTCTACCTGGCGTAGTTATGCATAGCAAATCAGGGTTTATTTTCGATTAATTTCCTCCATTCACTTTTTTTGCATCGCTCTGGGATCAAAGCCTAGACATATTGAAGTATTAATTTTGTATTTAAATATGGATAGAGAAAATAAGCTTTTGGGCTGTTATCATTAATCCCTATTATCTGGGATTTTGTTGGTTAGTTTCATGACCTTTTTTTTTATTATTATCGTTATTATTAGTTGTTATCAAATATTGGAATCATTACCTGATACAGTTATATTATTACAATATATTGTACTCGTATACATATAATGTATATGTATTAATTGTTTGTAAAAAAAAGAAAAAATTTAGTAGTTTTAATATTTTATTTATGTGATATGCCCAATTGAACCATTGGGTGACTCAGTTGTTACTTTTTATTCACGTTGCACTGACAAGTTGATAATTAGTTCGTTAACTTGCGTCTGTTTGATAACCAAAGTGTGAGGCGAAGTGAAAATATTTAGAGTGCAAATAAAAGTGTACGCAATTATAATGTTTTGATTTGAAAACAGAGCCGATGGTGATAATTTATATTATAAACTACGATATAAAAGAAACGCTATTGTATTACTGATGCATGAAACACTGAAGCGAAGAAGTTTTCCCGGAGCATAGAAAATAATAATAAATAATCCAAAGAATCAAAAATAAATAATTCTATTGGAAAACAAAACAAATGTGATATCGTTTTTGTAAGATTACCAAACAATGAGTTGTACAACCGTGCGCTAGGAAAGAAGTACTGTGCTCATACGCATGAAGTCACGATGTTGCATTAATATAATTAGAGACGATACGTGATGAATGGAAATATGAAAAACACGTCAGAGGTCGGCATACACACAAATGGTTACAGCGGTGGAATAAAAGTTGATTTTAGACGTGGCAATAAGAGGTACATGGTATACAGAATGATAATTTTATCATAAACCATCAATTTTCTTGGAGAATTTTAAGTGAATTGTATTATTATTTTTTATGGGAACGTTTAAACTTTATTTCATACCCCTACTCCTTATACTAGATATAGGGAGTAAGAGTACACATTTAAAACAGTATTAAAATAATGCTTGAACGATTCCATAATGATTATAATAATGGAAACCAAATTCATTTCAAATCCTCCGATAAAATTGCTGGTTCATGATAAAATTATCACTTTGTATATCAGACGACACACAACGAGCGCTAATATATATAGTGAGCGGCGGATGAGACGCAACGATAATTAATATTGGCAGATATCGACAATGGTTGAGCACACACGAAAAGTTACGTTATTGAACGTTTCATTGCGATCACAAATTTATTGGGCGATCAAACAAGAAAACAGCAGTTTCGCATGCATTCGAACAAAAATATGGTAAAACCAACGATCACAGACTTACTTACAGTGACGTTTCACGTGTCCCAAAAAAAGTGGACAACGACGAGAACGAGAATGCACACGGAGAGAAGAAAATATGCCAAGCGAGCAAACTAGCAGTGGTATAAGAATACCTAGACGCTACAGAGTGTTTACTATACATCGCGTTCTTATTGGTCCATTTTAAAATTCGGCGCTTTTTTTATTTTGTTTATTTTTCGTTATCATAACTGCTATCGTAAGTTATTAAATTATTAATTTGTTATGAGCCAAGTAGACTCAGAACGAGTTTGTAAGGATTTGAATTTTAAACTTATGAAAATAAACAACAATTGTTCTAAACTCAGTTTATTAATTACACAGATATGACACATACATAGGTACTTGTCTCATACTCGGTTAAGACTGGTTGACTAATGTCCTTCGCGTTCCCTTTATATACCTCAAGAACCTTTAATTTAGGCAGTTACTATTCTAAGTACACATCTGTGCTGCTTTTCCTTATTACACTATATAATATTAATCAATTACTTACAACACAAAATTATAATTTAACAAAATACAATCGAAGTCTTCCAAATACAATATCAATTGAATACTAATGACTACATTTTATTACATCTATTATATTAGACCGGATGGTTCTAACAAATTATTCACGATGCATGAATTAAGTTACAAAACGAGAGCCTGTTATCAACAAACTATTGTCCTTGAACATTTTCTTCGTTTAATAGATACAGAGCGCTAAAAACTAATCAGTGTCGAAAATTGTAACTAATCCAGTCATAAATATTTATATTTGACGGTATTTTTGAGCTTATAATTGTTAAAATTTTCAGAGAAATATATAATAATACTTGACTGCTCAAAAAAAAAAGAATTTGTGATGTCCGCTAAATGTGCTAAATTGCCATTTGCTGGAAAAATCAAGAAGAGGCAGTATTAGATAATATTTTTAGTATTAAGTATTAATAATTAATTTCTATAATAATATTTATTAATAAATAATGGTCATGTAAGAAAAAAAATGTATTTTAAGTGATCAAATTCGTTAAATAATGAATATTTGTACTTAATAAATGCATATATTAATTCTGATGTTATTTAATTTAATTTATCGAAGAGACCATGAACAGTGAAAGTAGGTTATACTGGCAACTGACAATAGGTATTTAGTGAACCTAAATTCAAATTGACTATAGTATTATATTCAAGCATTCATTATTTCATTATGATATTATAAATCACGAATTAATATATCCTTATTCGTGACAAATTATCTAGCCCTAATCATAAGCTGCAACTGGTGCCTTTTTTTTTAGCGCTCATTTTTCACGAGCTAGAATATGGTACACAATTTACCATAGTCACATTTGAACGCTAGCTGTTAATTTGAGAATGAAAATATTTCATGTAACAACTGATAAGTGCTCATTGCGTATTTTATGTATCATAATTCGTGTTACGAGGTAATCGTGGCAGTTCGGAGAATCATGTTATCACATAATGTTTGCATTTTTTTTTTTTTACGAAACTATCCCTCGATTTGTTGTGTTAAACCACGCCGGGTACGTAACAGGAGAAAATGTTTTATTTTTAAAATGAAAAAAATCCGTTGAAGGATATTTTTGTAAAAAAAAAAAGTGTAAAAGCGCTTAAGGATTCTTGTATCGCGAACTGGCACCGCTCACGACGACGGGTACAAAAAGCCTGGGTTAGGGCAAGTGGCGAGCGTTCAAGGATTGGCGAAGGAGTGGTGTCGGCAGACCACAGTGAATGTCAAAGATCCTTGATAATTAATAGGCTCCGCCACACGGCCCTGACGTGTCGGCCGTATTATTTTTCAATTTTGTTTCAAGCCTCGAATAATTTATTTACTTAAATATTAGTACATATTACAGATTTATATAAATTAAATATTCCTTTTTTTGGCACCAAAAATATAATTAATCAATTAAATGAATATCGTTTTATCGTGAAGATTATTTTCAAGACATTTTGCAAAACAGCGAGAAAAATTCCTATAAGCATAAAAAAAAACCTAAAACCTAAAACCTTTGTACGCCGAGAGAACCCAAGTTTGGTTTTTTCGTTGAGCAAGTTGCTCGTGCATCCAAATGAATAAACTTCGCCATCTCTTAGTTAAATTTTTCCATCATGCGGCATCATCATTTTTCCATCAGAGTATGAATAGTATGAATCAGAGTATCATCACGGGGAATTCGAAAATCGAACGAGTTTTGGTCGCCGTTTAGTTGGATTCTCTCGACTTAAGGAGTTCAGGCATTTAGCTAGCCTTTTTTTTACACCTGCGCCAAATGATCATGACATTTCTAAAAGACCTCCGCTTTAGTACCTAATAACCAATACATTTTTAATACTATTATGTTTACGTATTTATAAATTCTGTATCCGATTTGGGTCGAAACCAAAATATAGCTGAGTTGGTTTTAAGAGTTTTTAGAAATGCAGCCAATAAACAAGCCAGGGCCAATCCATTTTTTTATAAAACATTTTTTCTATAAATAATCAAACGTAGATACAACTCAATAATTTAAATTCAGCTAATTCAAAATATTACCCATGTCTTTTTGAGTTTGCCAGTCAATCAGTAAAATATAACCTCTCAGTCGATACTATTGTGACTACATGTCAAATTTTTTAATTTTCAATTTTCTCAATAAAATAAAATAAAATAAAAATACATGTATGTTATTTTTTAAAGCATTTTTCGTCCTAATTATCACTGTTTTAACGGCCAGTTATTAATTTGCTGTTGATTTATATGGATTTTAATGAGTCTTTTTTTTTTTTTTTTTATTAACTTACCCCTACCAATTACATTATTTTAAATTTTAAGAGCGTAAATGTATGCTTTTACATTTTTTAAGGGATTTATGGGGTTCTATAGTGCGTTATTTATTTATTGCAATCTCAGCCCGGTTTATGCACAGTAGTTCTTATAATTCAACTCGAGTAAACGGGAGAGATTTACTAAATGTGCATAAAATTAAACTGAAATTCCTTCATTTTGATATTGGTACTGTACGTCGTCAGATATTTTACACAATTTATACATTTTGTGTAATCATATAAAGACAAAATTGTCTCGATTATATTTTGTTTATTTTTCACTTTTAGAGTACCACCCTACCTACCTATATATTACACATTGTATCTGGTCAAATTCACATTTTAGATTTCGGTCTAATAATAATAATAATAATAATAAAAATTTAATGTATACTTTTTAAATTAACGATTTTATTTATAATTACGTGACAATACTATATTTTATAACGCTGATTACACATCGTTATACAACCGTCGTATTGTTATGGGCGTCGGATTTGTTTTTACGTTGTACATGCACGTTTCAACTTATGAGAATAAATCGTCCAAATGTCAAGATTTGTCGTCCTTATAACGTATTTGAACGGAAAAGAATTTCCGTTCCGGGTCGGTGCGCCATTTCGTTATTTGTGCGTGTGCGTATTATCGTCGGGCGTATGACCGTCGTGAGCGCGAACCGGTGATCGGCGCAGTCCACCGGGTTTGACGTCAGCCCCCGTGAACAGATGGTCGTAACCCATCGCGATCATGCGCTGCTTGAACAGGCTATAAAAATAATTCGGATACACCTGTCGGACGGCTGTCACGAACGACCCGGGTCGGTCCGTCATCAGGGTGGCGTTGGCGAACTCGACGGCCGCCCCGGCCAGGTTACCGTTTTCAAGCAAACGTTCACCCGTCTTGACGGACCGCGTAAACACGCCGGCCAGCCATTGCCGTATGACCACCTCTTCCGCGGGTGACGATGCGGCCCGTCCGGATTTGCCGACGTCCACGTCGTCGTCCAGTTTAATCGACGAACGTTCGGACATAATCAAGGGATTTCAGTTTCGGCCGACTGGCGTTCTTGCTCTCGGCCGGTTACACTTTACACTTTAAAAACGATCGTATTTTAGGCAAACATACGCGTGTACACAATAATAGTTTTATTTTGTTATACCATTTATGTTGGATTTTCCATGCCAACGCTTTACATCGATTGATTGATTATTCGACGCGTCAACAAGAGGTTACAGTAGCGTTTATCATGTCTGAATCTAGCGTTTGTTTCGGCGAAAATACTCGTTCGCTTTAAACGAACGAAATTACCTTTAAAATCGGTCTACGAGATAAAATCGGTCTCGGTGTAAATGGCCACGTTTTGATAGTAACCTCATCAGTGTTGTGAAGTGTCAATTAAATAAATAAATGTGCACTGTCTTCTAAAACCGAATTTAAAGGCGTTTACGTTTCTTTTACGTTAATACGATATCCAGGGAATCTAGGTCGAGTGTTAGAAAGTTGTGTGTCATCAAGGTCGAATATCATCAATTTAAGTCCCATAAAAGTCACGCGTTATAAAAATTATTTCTCGTAAAAATCGTATGTTATAAAAGTATACATATAAAAATAGCTACAGAGAAATTGAAATTTGTTATAAACAATTGAACGTTAATGAAAAATTTACTGTTATACCTAGGGATGTTATTAAAATTTTAAATTTGAACCCATAGCCTCGAGAAATTGTTTTATATCATACCCATGATTCTATTCTAATATTTTACATACTATGTTTTGTAGTCAGATATCATCACGAACGGACGGGGTAACGGTCAAATTCGATTCCATTTTCATTAAATTATATAGGAAAAAAAACGATCGCTCGTTAAATAATCGTATATATCACCAAATGTTACCGAACCGACAACAGTGTATTACGAGAGAACAACGCACACGGCGGCCGATCAGAACTCGTATTGTTTTCGCGCATCCCTACTACGAAACACGCACAACCGATTCCCCCACTGCGATGCGCGGCGTCGCGTTCGACAAACGGGGCGCGGTCATTCGGATGCGCGACCCGCACTCGTGGTGCGTTCCGGTACTGTGTAGTCTTGTGACACGCGAGCGCGTGAGGAAGGAGGTGCTACCGGCGTCTCGACGAAAATCGCGCCGATTAAAAATATATACGAAACGAATGAACGGTGTGAATGCGTACTACTGCGATGACAAAAATAATTGTTTCGATACGGAAATCTAATGTGGAAAACGTGGAAAATATATCTTACAGTATTTAAAATCGTCCCGTGTCAGACCATGGTTGTTTATATTTTATTCATTTTTTTTAAACGTATCAATCTCAATTTGTCCGTGTGTTTTTTTTTTTTTTTTATATATAACGATTTTATTAGAAATGCTCTTATAACGCGTGATTTTTATGAGAAATAATTTTTATAACGCGTGAATTTTATGAGACTTAAATTTACGATGTCCGACTTTATGACACATGACTTTCTTACACTCGACATATTGCATCCAGGATTCCGAAGTGCTTTAAATACTTGCCAATAACGTTTTGAACGATCAAAAATTAAATCAAAATAGCTAATATATTATTATTAAACAATACATAAATAGTCCTTATAACTTTTTAACAAACAAGTGACATTTTTCAATTGCTATTTTGTTCTTATTTAATTATGATAAATTTCTACTTATAATTAACTATTATTAAAAACATATTTCAAATATAAGTAAATAATATGGCTGGTGGAAAAATATTCTCAAATTCCGAATTAGAATGATTATAATAAATACAAATAACTAAAACAACTCAATGAGCGTGTTAAATTACAGTTTTTAAACGAAATTTAAACAATTAACTATAATTTATAATATTATATAACTTAAAAATAATTTGGTAACTTTAATTATAGGTATGTTTATATGTTAAAATTCTAATTAAATTCAACGCTTTCACAGACTCAATTAGACTAGATCAGATTGATCTATCAAATTTTCTGTTATTACAAATAAGGTAACCTTAGTTACCTATCGCCAGTGTCGGATTAAGAAATTTAGCGCCTTATATAGGCCTATATTAGGCCTTGTATAAAATGGCGCTCTTATTAATTTATTGTCATTTTAAATCCTAGTAAAATTGCTGGTAAAAAAGTTGTTTATAGGAAAAAAGTTATAAATAAATATCACTGTAAAACCAATATATTCCTCGCTCCGCTCAGAATCTAAAATCTCTTTTATTCTTTTTTTTTTTTTACACGCATTTTACATTGAAAAAATGATATAAAACAAACAAAGTACAATAATAATTAGTGTTTAGTAACTAAGAATTATACTTATTACTTAGTAATTTCAATTAATTTTTTCCCTGGATTTCCTAGTAGCGAATTCAGTTACTATGCCAGAATAATCCAAGCTTTGAAAAAGTTAATTTTCTATATTTAATAGAGATATAATGCATTCATTCTATTTGATGTTGTAAACCTCGTATAATTTTAGAACATGATAAGATAAAACCGATAAGAATTATTATTTGAGGTGTCCTACGTAATATAGGCCACCGGCAGCCGCATTCTTCAAACACTATTTATGAAGATGTAACTCAACAAAAATTTAATGAAATTACGGATTTCCATTGTTTGTTTTAAATGGAAGAAGAAAAATATTTTCGTCCCTTACACAACTTAAAATTATGGAGCCCCTATGCCCAGGCCTGCTTTGCCTATTTGTTAATCCGCCCCTGCTTATCGCTGTACCTATTTAAAATAAATTAATATTGTAACTATGTAACCTATTTGTTGGTAACTAATAGACTGTCGGACATAACCGGGATATAAGGTGTCTAAACTTATGTTTAGAAAACTAAAATTAACATTGAGTTCTTTGATTTACGAATCGTAAAGATAATGAGAATACTCTCGCGGAGGAGAATATTTTGTACGCTCGAAAATTTTTAAGCGCTCGCCACAGTACGCGCTTCTATTATGTGTTTTGTGATATAGAATGAAATGTTATTGTATAAAACGCAAATATTTTTGATGCCAAATAAGTAAACATTTATAATTGTGTTTCTCAGGAAGACATTCCGAAAGTATTGTATTTGCCGGAGTGCGAATTAGCAATACCACATTACGTGATTAGAATTTTAGTCGAGGATAAACACCTCCTCGAAGAAGAAAGATTTGTAAGTGAAACTTTTACAAAGTTTTTGCTAATTTATGGGTTAAGTATAAAAATCTTACATTTATTTTATTAGATCGGTATCGTCCCGGCAAAACCATCCACCCAAGATATTTTTGAAGACTTTTCAAATAAGTATCCAGTGTAAGTAAATTGTCTATAAGTTAATATAGGTTAGGTTTGATAAATTGAAAATTTTAACAAATACCTTAATGTGCTTATTATTTTGTACTTTAGGTGTAGGTATACATTAAATGTTATGGTCGATTTGTTTGACCATACATTAAATGCATTTTTGTTGCATCCCATTGAAAGACCAAAGTTTAAAGAAGTAAGTTTGATTTAATTTTTAGAATATTCGTTACTCACATTATGTAATTCAAACTGTATAATAAAATTAAACCAAAATTATTTTTCATTTCATATTGTAGATGCTTCAAAAATATCCAGGCCAACATATGGCCCAAATTTATGGTTTACCTCATTTATTACGATTTTTGAGTAAGCATAATATTAATAATATTATTATATATTGTGTGTAATGGTATGAAATAGTTTATGTCCCCCTGTGGGATACGATCATAATACACCTACAGTCGGAAGAGGTGATAAAAGGGGTTGCGTAAGTCAATAGCCAGTGTGAAATTTTGTCAAACAGTATGAGTTTAAAACAAGACTGACAAGTGTGCGAGAATAACAGTTGTGAAGCGGTATCATGACGCATGATGTGTTAGTAATGTAACTTGAGGAATGGAGAGTAATACTTGAAGGAAAGGATAAGTAGAAAAAAAAACAGAGTATGAGCTAAGAAAATTATGACAAGACCGCTGACGGCAATATAATCATATTAGTCGCTTATAACTGGTCAAGTGAAAATTTAGAACAAAGAAAGGTGATTCCAAATAATTAGGATGAAGCCGAAGAATAATAAGAAGAATTAAATAAGTTTATTTATACACATTATAATTATACATTTTTCATAATACAGTCATTATCATATACATTTGGAGAATAGTTTTTTGTTTGATTTTATACTTTCAATAATATAGGTTGTATATTTTAAGGATATTGTAATATAAGATAAATACTAATACCCGTATGTTTATTAATGACCATAAGATAAATTAACTAACACAATTTTAGTTTTGTAAAAAATAAATATACTTTTATTTTATATTTGATACAATATCGGAATAAGTATTTGGATAATTTTCAAAAATACAACCAAAAAAACTTACACACAAATAATTTATTTCATTTACAATTTGGAGGGAGTTTTTACAAACTATTATCAATGTTGAAAAAAATGTATTAATTATTAAAAAAAATTAACCATTTAAATTTTTTAAATTGTTTTATTTCTCAAAATGTATTCAAATATAACAAAATAAATATTATTTTATTGCAAGATTAAAAAGGTATTTTATCATACTTACAATAGTAAGACAATTTTGTTATTTTATTACTTAATCATTTATGTATATATTTTCCTAAATGTGTTTACAGTAAAATTACCGAAAATTTTGTATATAATGAAAACACAGCATAACGAGTTCATTCCTGGTGCCATTCAATTTATAACGAAATTATTGAAGTGAGTATAATTATAAATATATATCCATATAACAATGGCTGTTAGTATTGATATATCTGAGTCTAATAAACTCAACCCAATAAATTGCAAAATGATCTGCGTTGTCAGGGACAAATTTTTAGTTATTAAAATCTCTGATCCGACTGGTAGAAAAAAATTTTGGTGCTTAAATGTTTTATTTTCTTTTTAATTTAGTTGCCTATAGTAATACCAAAAGAATGTTAGAATAGCTAGTTTTATATAAAATATGATACAGGCAAAACATGAAATTTTGCTAAGCATGTAAAACATTAAACAAAATATTTAAAAGTTAAGGTAAACTCAATTATGACAAATTTAATAACTATCCTGTGGTGGCTTGTGCTATAGTGCACAGGAGCAGTGCAACGTCTACAATTTTGAATACTATATTAAATTAACATTATTATATTATGAAAATATAAAAATATACTATTAATTATTATAATATATATTACAAGCTAGAAATGCATTCATATTTATTTTAGAGAAAAGAATACAAATTAATTATTATAATATTAAAAAAATATTGAATGCGAAAAGTCGAGAAAAACTAATGTTATTGCATGGAGTGTGTCTAACGACAGCGTTTACGGATTACGGACGGGCAAATACGTTTTTTTGTATCAGTCGTGCATGCGCATTTGACCGTTTCATTCCCATAACTGGCACAATTACCATTTATAGATATATAGTGGTGTGTTGGTGAACAAACGAATATTAACCCGTCAGCCGCCGTACAGTAGAGCTCTACACGGTCCGGTCTTGTATTTTTTTTATATATATATATGAGAATTTGAATATCAATTTTTGACGAATTTCGTAAATATAACGACCTTTTCTAAAATGTATAAAACCGAACTCCGTCCATAATCGTTTTTCGTTAAAAATCATTTATCGTCGCATACAAAAATAGATTAAATTTTACTCTATTTCCTACATTCTTAACTTCTCACCTAAAACAGTGTCCCACACATTATGCGAAATATGTCTTTTTATTTAATTTTGTAATTTACTACGGCCCGGTCCGGTTGGTTCTAGTCTTCTTTTGGTCTAGTCCAGTTCGTCCACTATTTCCCGTTACAATAGTCTGGACTGGTTTAAATGTTGATAGAGTACAATAAAATAATTATTATGTTACGTGGAAAAATAAACTATTATCTGGGCCCTGGGGTAATCATATTTGGCAAAACGATTTCAAATACACACGACGGAAACGGATAAAATATAATTTTGGGATTTTCGTGTTATTTGTAAATTAACTGAACGACCATCACTTAATACGTAATGCGCGATTTTCTATATTTTTATATTAAATATTAAACTTAGAAAATCATACTTTCAATTTTATTTTATAATCCACAAACAATTATATTCTGTGTGATAATTTTATTATATATTCAATATGTTTTCCAATATTCTATTATATTTTTGTTTACATATATATTTGCAACTTTTGTACTGTTTATAAAACTACCCTATGTGTTTTAAACTTTAATTATTATGTATCTTTATGTGTTTTTTAATTTATACTTGTAACAAAAACGTCTGGTTATAGTATGTATATTGTGTCACTATAGGCAACCTATTAGACAGGCAGTCTGCTTTATTATTTTAATAAATGCTGTTCTCTCTCTTTGAATGTGGATTTAATATTAAATATTTTTCATGTTTAATTATATAATGTATTAATGTATAAATAATAAATTACTAGGTATTTAATAGGTTCGATCTTAGTATATTTTAACACGGTCCTGTCTCGATCCGATTTAGTTAAGAAAAAAATAAATGATAAATGACCATTCCTGTCTGGTACCGTGGTTTATTCCATTAGTCTTATCCTGGTGTTAATTTGACTTCACTGATCCGGTCGGTCCGGTCTTAAAATAACCGGACTGTTCAGAGTTCTACAGTCATCTACCACCGCTGATGGAGAATATCACGCAGCGGAAACGTACCTAATTATTTCTTTTGAATAATATTAAATTTATTCGGTGAGGCGGTGACCGGCGCGCGGCGTTATCTCTAAAAGTACTCTATGAAAAATATTAACCAGGTTTACATTCAATTGCTAAATGTATAATATAATAAAAACAAACATAGTTCCCTGTGGATTTCTGTTTAAGAACTTTCTATATAAAACAAATACAAATATAATATTCATATTTCAATAGAATATTTGTTAATTCCTATTTTCTGAATTGACTGTACTTATTATAAATTACCTATATACATAATTTTTTAAATATGTACCACCAATTATTTTACACACGAGCCGCCACTGTAACTATTATCATAGATTTTTGGCATACTTGTGGTTATAATATTTAGTTTTGTTATACATTTTCTACTTTTTGTAACGCATTTAATTGTTGAATGTATCATATTATATATTTTATATATTTGTATGTGTGTGTGGAAGTTACAGACTATAATAAGTCAATCGCTTTCATATCAATACCAGATTTTAATTCTCTTATCCATACTTTACATAAACGTTTAAAGAGTTGATATACCTATCATTCAATGGTATGTTAAGAACCCTTGGTTTAAAACATAGTTTGTATTTAGCTAAGTAAGCAATATATTATTTTTTTGGTAACGTCTTCCGTCGCCGAGCGCATGAAATGCGAACGATGACGGCAGTCGAGTTAAAACAACGATTCCGTATAGTTATAAGTAGAACCTATTAAATGTATTTTTAAATAAATATAAATAATAATAAACAATAAGTAATTATTTCAAAACGGATGAGTTCAGTGTTTGGTTAATCCCAAAAGTCTAACTCAAATAAACGAGTATCCGCCGTCATTTACGGAAGAAACCAAAATTGACGGTGAACCCGGCATCAACCGGATATAGGATACAACAGGTGTATATATGCATAAAATGAATCATTGGTTTTTTTTCATAGCTCTTTAAGTATTTTTGTTCGTATTTAGTCTGGCGTTTTTTTTTGTTATTTATTTTTTTGTAACTTCTAACGGAATGAAATTTTTAATTTTGCATTTGTTGCATTCATCTATTGGCTCTATGCAATGTCAAGCTGAGAGTCTATGGCGTTTAGTAGAAATGTACATTCAAGATGCCGAGCATATATTTCTAGTTTACTAGATGTTAATGTATACTTTATACCTTAATGAAGTCACATTTCCAATCCAAGTTGCTCCTACCTTTAATCTAAATTCTTAAACTAAGTTGTATGGTTTGAGATGTTTAAAACACCTTATAACCTTGAAATTGTTAAAAACAATTTAAAATATTTATTTACTTATTTACTGTTTTTTTTTCTTTTTTAGATATCTGGACGTAGAACAAATTCCAATTAGTATCTTTGATTATAATTGTGTGATGCCGGAATACTACAGAATGGCATATTTCACATAAATATTTTCATTGTAAGTGGTTTTTGTTGTCAATTCTTAAGTAGACGCATTCTCTTGATGTCAGATACAGTAGAAGCCTAAATGTGTCAAATTGAAATTCCGCCACTAGGCGATTAGTATTAGACTTAGCTGTATCCTGGCCAATTAAATCCAAAGAAAAAATAAATATATCTAAATAAATAGGCTTAGATATAAAATACAAATAATATTAGTAGGTATATTATATTATAATATATACTGTTTTATATTATTTTATATTACATATACGTATACATTATTTAAAATTTGGTTTCGACATTATGGTAATATTTTAACTATTTTAACTAATAACGCTTTTCCATAACTTTAATGTAAGCGGTTGTATGATCGTGATTATCATTTTAAACTTCATATTTATGAAATAGATTTATGCTAATTAGTATTAGATTATATTAGGTAACTATTGCATTTTATTAATATATATTTAAGAACAGTGGCATACCTACTCAAGAGATTAGGTGCCTAGGCAGCTATTAATAATTTTAAATACCTACCTATTAAATATTAATATAATTGTGTGATATAATTATGAATTTTGCTACAAATATTCATATCACTCATCACGCTCCTCCCAACCAAAAAAAGTTATGCCAATGTTTAAGAATAATACAATTAATGTAACCCACATTTTATATTTATCTTATATCAAAACTCTTTTTTAATTAAATTCCATTTTATTATATCTAATCATTAATATTCGTATTTATTAAACTTTTTTTATATGTGTTACACTGAGTAAACTCATTTTAAATACTATTTTATATTCTATAATAATTTTACATTATTTTTTTATTATATCATCGCATTGTTAATTTATCAGCTTATAAAAAAAAACATTAAGTTTTAATAATTTTTGATTTTCCAGTATATCTTTGTTTTTTTTTTTTTTTTGATAATTCTATATTTCTTAGATGTGAACTACCTATAATTAATTATTTTGTAATTCCTAATAGTATATAAATTATACTATATTTTTTAATATATACTATACTACAATTTTCCGTTTATAAATAAATCATGCAAAAAGTAAACCAAGTGTAAAAACATGTTCTTAAAAAAAATTGTTAGCATGTTTAAATATCTTATTTCATTCCTATATATGTATGAAAAAAAATGTCTCAAGTGATATCATGAATAGTTTAGTAACCATTTAGTACATAAATTTTAATTAAAATCAAAATTTAATTCTAATTTTAAATTTAAAAAATTTTAGTCACTTTTTGCATGATGATAATGAAATATTCTATGACTTATTAGGCGTATGCATTATTTACATTTAGTTTTCAGATTAATTATTTTGTGTTGTTAATATTCAACACATACAATATTAAGTAATTTTGTTTGTAAACCACAATCTAAATGTTTAATTCAGTGGTATTAACTATTTATGTGATTTCTATTATACTCTTATCAAAAATTGTGTTGCATTTTTAATTCATTTAATACTTATTAAATTTGTAGTGTAGGTATTGTAAAACATTAGAAGAAAAGTACAGTTTAAGGATATATTTTAAAAATGTGTAGGTACCTACTATAAAACATTTGACCGACTCAAAATAGTTGGGATGGAGCAGAACGTTATTATTGTTGATATGTTTTATACTTATTTTATAATGAATATAAAAGACTGACATGTGAGTGCACATTGGTAGTTGTAGGTAGGAAAGTATGATACAGATGGGAATTTAATGTATATCTGTGAGTAACGATAAACTATTGCTAACAAATAAAAACAATTCTGAGCGGAATTCAGTTGATAGTGTTGCTTTATCAACAATATATATGTCATACTACAGTAAAATGATTACAGAAATGGCGTTTTCATAACAACAATGATTGTTTAAAATAATAAAACTTATTAATAACAAAAAGTTTAAAAAAAACCCGCTTGCAATAACAAAGTTATTTTTAATCTTTCAATTTTTTGTAACCTAAAGGACCAGGTTTTCCTCGTTATCTCGAATATTAATAAGAATTTCAAAAAATGTCCTCTTTACTAGTCTTTACTTGTCCTAATTACCCAGAGAACATTTCCTTTCAGAAAAAGGAACTATACTTGATAATCAGAGTAAGCTTTTTGGTAGAAAAGGATTTACATAAAAAAATAAAATAAAATAAACATTATTGTAAAACCAAGACATTCCTCGTTCTGTTCAGAATCTAAAATTACTTAATTATAAGTTCTATAACAATACTAATACATTTCTAAGATATTGATATTAAATACGGTAAATGTTGTGAAGATTTATGGGTTGATGACTAAGTAAGCCTCAATAAATTACAATTTATAACTTGTTTAATATATAATACAATACGAACAGTAGCGTAGCCAGTATTTAGAAATAGGGGGGGGGGAGAAAAGTCAAAAAATAAAAAACTAAACAGTGAACATTAATAATTTATTTTAACGTTAAAGAAATTATTTAGACTTAAATATAAATAGCATTTTAATGGTAAACCAACTCCGTCGGCCCTATATGCTTCGTCTACTTCGTCAATAAAAACCACTGGTTTTTAATAAATAAAAATAATGAAAATGAAAATTTGTTGGTTATTATTAACACTTCTCTCTTTATTAAGGAGCCCATTCACACAATCTATTTTCTGTGTCTGTCTCCGTGTAGTAATGTGTAGTACAAACAAATATAGAGGCAACTTAACCAAAGGCATAATATAAAATATTGAGGTCATAGTCAAGCGTGAAATTGAATATAAATAATGCAAATAATGATATGGACGACCTTTTTTTAGCAGATTTAAATTTTTCATTGAAATTGTGAAAATTGAATAATTATAGTCCCATCAGATTTGATGGAACATCATTAAATACCAATTTAATTATACTGAAGCCTACGAGACTACAAGAGAAGAAACTCATTTTACGCATACGAACTGACGACGTTGAATATTCCGTGGCACCATATTTCCCCCCCACTCAAATATTCCGGATGGCAGCATACTACCACATATAGCCTATCGGAGGCTATAACACATATAGTCTAGTGGACCTTAGAAGTGGTAAACTACTAATAAAATAATAAATAGCAAACCATTATTTCTTATCAATAGTAGCAATTGCTATTTTTAAGAATAGCTGTATGCTATATTGCTACAGACCAACCACGTCCACAGTAGCAGTTAGTTGTATTAGCAGCTATAGTGTGTTACAGATAGAGTTGCCAACCGTACCGATTTTAACGGGACATTCATGATCCATGTGTTTTTGCGATCAATGTTGTTGCGGGATACATAATAATTTTTATAATATCTTTTCCACATTTGTAAACGACGGAACTGTTGAAAAAATGTATCAATGATCGTGATCCGAATGATTGCTGTTTAGGAGGGCGCGCTCGAATTATTATTACTACTTTATCTGTTTTTTTTTTCCGAATAAAATTCATCATTCGTTGATACGCGCATTATTTTGTAATGACCCGTCGGTATGCTGTGTATTTTCATGTTGTGCGTGTGTGTAATTGGCGTGTATCTATATTATAATCTTATACAATGAGTGACCCTGGAGAACAGAGTACTTCACCGAATCCATATCCGCACGACGCGGCTAAAATTATTAACCTAACCGCGCGGCTAAGGTCGTGGTTTAGTTAATTCGAAAGCAATTTTTCCCAAATCGATATCACTTTATACGACTTGATATCGGTTTCAAATAGCTAGGTCATTTTATGAAAATGAAAAATAATTATCTGATTGAAATTGAAATGATACACGACGCGTTACCTATTTCTTAAAATTAAAATATAATTAATAATCTCAAAATTTCACCATTAACTGTTAAGGTATAAGCAATTTAACAGTCTAGCAATATTTTGTCACTACTATATTTCAAAAAAAAAGTAGAAGTACAATTAACAGACTATTAATTAAATTCAAAAATATGATTAGTAATCTCTTAACATAATTGGGAAATAGTAGTACTAATATAGTTTCTACTATTATTTTTTACCACCTCCATATGTTAAAAACTCGACGTTGTATTGATCACACATACAAATAAATAATAATTAAGACATTTAATTTAGTTGTACATAAGAGATCAATCGTTTATTATGAATAGTACAAAAAAAAAAAAATGTTGTCCTAGGATAATGGAGACGAGCGAAGCTACTTTTATAGGTAATTTAATTTATATTTGTTAGCAAAGATTAACCACTGCTAACGAAAAAACAATTCTAAACGAAGTTCAGTTAATATTGTAGTTCCTTTATCAACAATAAAATATGGACGAATAATTTCATAAGCAATATATATATTTTCTTTAAAACTATTTGTTTAATCTTAGACCTATTTTCCGTTTTCCTACGCGTTTCCCCAGGTTTCCCATTTATTGGGAAAAAATAGTAAGAAAATCAAAAAACGACTTCTCTGAAGTACCTCCCTAGTCAGATTTCTTTCAGAAAAGGTGCTACACTTAAAAATCGGCGCAAGATTTCTAGTAAAAATGTTGCGCAAATATTAAAAAAAAAAATCTTTCTAAAACCACAAGCTTCTTCGCTCCATTCAAAATCTATATTAGTATTAGGTAGGTATCACTTTATAGTTTGCAAGAGGAAAGAGCTAGTAGGTGAATTGGCATTTAATGGCTCATGTTCCAATCTATTGACTCCTAACTACAGTTTAAACAACTGCACAACGGGTACTTCTTTCTCTTATACTTCTTCTGGCATTTGTTCATCTGAAAACTGGGTATCTATTGACTGTTCTTCAATGTTACTTCTATCAGACCTCTCAGTCAGAACCTGGACAGACTTGAGTTGGGAGACATGCGCAGTAGTACAAAATGAACCAGATTCTCTTCTTAAATTGGCCATACGGTATGTGTCTTCCGGCAATACTTCAATAATCTGAAAGGGTCCTCGATACTTAGGTTCAAGCTTGGATGATTCACCCAGCCCAGGTTGCTTCAATATGATGACAACTTCCCCATGATCTTGACATTCACGCAACGCTTTTGATCAAATCGCTTCTTTATTTCGGACTGAGCGTTTAGAATATTGTTTCGGAACATGTTCTGTAGTTCCCTCGGGCTTTTCCACTTAGACTCAGGTTGAAACAAAGAACGTAACGCTCCACTATGATACCGTGGTATGTAACCATAAAGCAATTCAAATGGTGTATATTTTGTTTGCTTATTAATTGAAAAATTCACATCCCTCACCACATCTTGAACTTTCTGATCCCAGTGAACATTGTCGGATGCCTGGATAACTAGCATTGGTAATAGTGTACGGTTCATACGTTCTACCTGCGCATTCGCTTGAGGATGTCGGGTTGAATTAAGTATGTGTCGAATTCCCTCAAACCGGTAGTAGTCCTCAAATAGATAATCTGTGAAACATGTGCCGCGGTCTGTTATGATTTACCCTGGGTGGTCTGGCGGTTGCTAATTTTTGACAACTTACTAGAAGGGCTTCCCTCGTTTTATCCACCATTGTTTCTGTAGTATATGGTTCAATAAGTAGGGTATCTTTGTGGAAAGGGTTTTCCTTACTTACCACTGTGCACTTCCAGTGGTGCTTCCCACTTTCCCATCTACAATCGGGACACTTCGCTGTCTTTTCCTTTATTGTATTTTCTTTTTCTGCCGTGCATTCCTTCTGAAAATGACCCAAAGACTTAAATTTAAAGTACTGAACGTCAGCATTCGAAGTTAAAAGTCGACTGTCGGTTGGAACCGGAGTAGATTGTACTACTGTTTTTCCACCACTGGGTCTGTTACTGTGCTCCCAGTTACCTGGATGTTTGGTCCTCCATTACACAGCGTCTATCGAGAAATAGGTCCTGTGTCCATTATTAACACGCTCAACCGTAGAAATGTCTCTCAACATTTCGTCAGTATCCCCATGTGAAGCCATCAATAACGTGTTGGCCATTTCTCGAGACAATAGGCCCATCAACACCTGCTCCTTGGTATCAGAAAACTTTAACGACAGTGCTTCACACAATCGCATTTTGTGGTGAAAATATGCAAAGACCGATTCTTCCTTCCTTTGTACCCATTTTTGCATTACAACAAACTTTTAACAAAAACTAGTTTTCGCAATAATTGTCTTCTTAAACGCAGCCTCGAAATCAGTCTACATCACTAATTTATAGTATATCGGGCGAGGAACCAACCTCGATCTGCCCCAGTTAGGTGCCGTCTTGCCATCTGTAGTTTCACTCTAATAGGCTATTGATGTAACTTCGCGGTAGTGTTCAGATTATGCAGTCACTCCGATGTTGCACGCTTTTCACCACTTTCACCGTTGAACTTGCCGATCGTTGTTGTCAAGTTCGGCATAATTTGGTAATTAGTGCCGTTATTGTTAGCCGTCGTCCCAATCACTATTGATGATACTATTGTGCTACACTCACATTTGCGGTAAATCGGTTAATGTAACTGCGCTATCGAGTGATACGTCCCCAGTCAGCAATGCATTCGGCATCGCATTTTGACAATGTACGAACAGACGGAACACAAAAGAAAATAACAACACAATCAACACATATGACGGATAATACTGATATCAGATACGCTGATAACATGTGACCGCGACTGGTTACCAAATACCAATTGGTGTAACTAGCGGGTGTTCACGCAAGTGCACGATCCACGCAAAAAAAGAAAATGTCCACCTAACCTATACCTATACGGTTCACAATTTGTCTCCGACGAAAACACTCGCACGTTCTCGAACACACGTAAAACCGGCGTTTTTCACGAAATATTTTATATAATTATAAACGTTGACCGACGACCTGTCAGAATGCCTTTGTAAACGATGAACAACTACGCTACAACACAACAATAACATTTCCCAACGGGTTTTGTATTTATGGGCTTTATTGGAGCAAGTCCTACTTCAGAAATGTTAGAAAAATGCGTTAAGCTCGAGCGAACGGTGTTCATTGATACAAAACATAGAAAGAATGAGAAAAATAAACAATTTATTGAACGCACAAACGTGCAAAACGCCTCATAATCACACACTAACTTACTAACTTTTACCGCAGAGAAAATAAAATAGTACAAAAGGAAATAGACAGTATGGCCAACATTGTTTACATTATAATGTTAAATATATATATGTTTAGATAGTAAACATTTTTTTCCAAACTATCCATTCAAAAATCTGATTAAATTTCTTTAGTAATTCGCATCCTGAAATTGTCTCTAACATATTTAATAATAGCAATGCCATTCTTGTTACTCCATTTATTCTGCCACAATGTACGTACATATATGTACAAAAATATACATATATTCCTATTTCCTCTTTTTCCTAAATAAAAACTAATTTTAACACTAGAGGATAAAAAAAATTCCTTTTCGAAAAAATTCTAAAATTGTGACACACAATACATTATATTATATAATTTCCATTTCTATTTTGAATTTCTTGTTTTATTTTTCCCTACGTTTCCCAGTTCCATAATAGGTATTGCATAATATTACCAAGTTCAATTTTTTGTATTCGAGTTTACTAAAAATATCCGTTGTTTGAAATTTCAATTTTCGAATTAATTATATCCCATGTCTTTAATAAGGTCCTGTATATTTGCTAACTGTTAGGAAAAGGTTTTATTCTAATCCGAATATAAACAATTCCGAAAAAAAAAAACAACTATACATATAATAATAATCACAAAATAATATGGGATTAAAATCATACAAAATAATTTAGACTAATTAGGTAAAAACTCAATAAAAATAAATTATAATAAAATAGTAAAATAATAATAATTTTACTAAATATTTATTTTATTTTTTATTTTCCTCCATATCACCAAGTTAACCCATAAATCAACAAAAAAAAAATTGATTGCTGTACTAAAAATACCAATAACCTTGTGTCAGCTGCCCTTGCAACGCAACCTATAAGGTCAAACTTTGAATTTAAACCATTCAGGGACCCATTCAAACACACACAATAAATTTCATAAAAATCAGTCCAGCCCTAAACAGGAGGAATTTAGTGACATACACATGGACAGAAGAAATATATATAATATATACATTGTATATATATATTATATTCATATGAAATAAAATATTACTCTATGATGGTAAATCTAATTGTCTATAACCAACTGCAACCAACTATAATACGCATATTAGTTGAATTTAAAATAATTTTTTTCTGGTTTTAGTTAGTGGTGTATTTAGGAATTTGCTTAGGAGGGGAACTATACATTTTTGTAAAAAGTTGTAAATCTCATATCACCATTAAAAAACCGTTCAACTCTATAAGGAAGCAGTATTTTTTAGATTAAAGTTGATAGTTCAAAGTGAGTTTATATTAAATTAAATTTATAACCAGTAGTTATGTATAAAAATTATGAAATTAATGGGCATCTTATTATTAAGTATTCTTATAAAACTAGATCCAATTTCCTTGGTCCATTGGAAATATTATCTATAACATCTTCAGGATTAACTTTGATGTCCCTATAAACAGCCAATTTAAATATTAATTACAATCAAATTATTTTAAATATTATTATGTACTGTGTATACTTACTTATTCTAGTTGTTAGAACTTCTCTGTTTGTAGTGATGTTTAAAATCATGGGCGTAAAATATACGTCTTCAAATGCACAGGGCTTGAGCCCAATAGGACCACTGGTCTAAATAATAATAAAAGAAAATCGATTTATAGATCGAAAAATACCGATATCGAAACATTAATTTATTATTAATATCTATATATTTGAACGATGCGGCATAATTATTGTACCTTGCATACGCATCGCTGCACGTCGATGCGTCTGGGTGCTAGGCCGTTATAATAGGTCATACACTGATCATATTTCATGGAACATTGGAACGTTAATACGAAAATCCAATGAAAACCTACCTATTAGTACTATTATTATACTTTTAAGTTATAACTATTACTATTGGTTATAACTTATAAATATTGATTATAAATTATAAAATATATTATAATAAAAATGTCCTATACATTAAAATATCTTTGGGAGTTTTTAAGTTGGCTCAGGAAGGACTAAACTCTCCTGACCCTCCCTCCCCCTGTTTACGCCCATGATCAAAATTAATATCTGACTAATTCAATAATCATTATAATTTTGTTACAGAAAAGAATAAACGAAAACTAGATGTATTTAATTGGTATTTCAAGAACATTAACGAGCTATTCAAACATTGCCTACAGTCGTAATTAAATAATCAGAAAATAAATCCAGTCGATCATTCTTTCACTATCGGTGAAGTGAGGCAGATGAACTTACAAATCAAATAAAATTATTTCGAAAATATCTTCACAATTTCAATTTCTTCAACAATTTTTTTGTTATAATACTATTCTATATAATACATTATGTTTAAGCTTTAGTCTTCAAGCATTCAGTCACTCATGGTATCAGTTATTTTTATTGTTTTTAGAGTTGTTAAACCGTCTTTACTCTCATATTTTCCGTTGTTACTTTTGCTTGCGTGGAGCACTTTTTTTCCCCAAGTGTTGTTTCATTCATTGATTATGTGATTACTTTAATTTAAATAAACCTGAATGTAAATAATTTGTTTCCGGTTTTTTTTTAGTTCATTTTTATATTTATATAATAATAGTAAATAAAATAAAATCGTAGGTGTATGAACTACACTTTAAGTTTAAGAAATGTATCATAATATAATGTATCAAATCTAATAATTTAAGTTGCTGTTAGACCAGTGGGCATAGATAACGAGGTTTTATTGCTTTTATACAAAAAAAAAAAAACTAAATCTGTTTAGTTTTATTTATGAAAGTATGTGTATTGATTATTAAATTATTTTTAAAAAAACACATTCATTGTATAATACATATTTTTACAACTTTATACTTTAGATAATTCTTTAGTAGGTGTAGCAATCAAGACACACTTTGAAGATATTTTCAGTGATCACGGCATATTAATTTAACATGTGTTGTGCTAAGCTTTGTTGTTTTGTGCTCAGCGTCTTTTCGCGATAAAAGCATCGCCACTTTGTTCTTAGATTTGTTTTTAATCGTTTCGATTTCTATGTGAATAGCTGTATTGGTTTTACAATGATGTTTATTTTTTTTTTGTGAACAACCAGAAAAATTTTGCTCCGATTTTCAAGTTTTTTGATTTTTCACTTAGAAAACGCCGTTCGCCGTTCCGCCACATAAATAATACTCCACTACTTCCCCGCTACCTGAAATTAAAAGTGGAATATCTCGCCAACGGGTAGATGCGAATCAAAAACGTTGACACAAAAATATATTTAAAGTAATACTTTGTCTATTTATGGAATTTTTAATATAGGTTCTCAGTTAAAAAATCAAAGTTGGTATCACCACTGGATGCTCCTTAAATGCTGTGAAAAATCTATTTATTTTAAATTATCAGCTCTAACTACACTTAAAAATTCTAAAAATCAGAATTTGAATAACGCAAAAGCACGCGGATGCAGCCGCACGTACAGTAACAACGCAGCGTCACATTAAATTGCCATCGCTCCGTTGATGATCACATACTCATTCATCCCACCTTTCTATCGTCGTCCTATTTAAAATATGCGTTCATTTTCACTTTTGTACTCAGTATATACATATAGACCCACGTATAGTAAAATAATAATTACAATATTATATTGCTCTGTATTACGCGTTTTATAACCATCGACTACTTGACACATTGGACACCAATACTCCAAGCGCTCCACTATTTTACCTTTTTTTTTTTCTACGGTTTTCCCGTGTTTTTTCCTGATTTTTATTGGGAAAATTCATTGGAAGAAATCAAAAAATGACTCCTTACTTAATAAAAAATACTTCTTAAATTATCTCCCTACAGTCAGATTTACTTTTAGAAAAAGTGGTATCATTTGAAATCGGAACAAATTTGCTGGTAGAAAAGTTGTACAAAAAAAAAAAAAAAAAAAAAAAAACATCTTTGTAAAAACATAAGCTTCTTCACTATACTCAGAATTTAAAAAAACGAATGTAATTACGCACACAAAACTACATGAAACTAAACACACACATGGTCGCAATAATTTGATTACTGGATACTGAACGACTATTCGTGTTTATTAATTTATTGCTACTTAAATCATATAACCACTGGAATGTTTATACCTGTATACTAAAATATTTTGTGTTCGCTGGATGCTCCATCGCCATTATGTTGTTACGTGAAATCTTGACGTATTAATTTGTACCCCAAATCATATAAATACAGAGAGGTTATTTTTTGATTTTCCCAGCTGTTTTCATATTAAATGGGAAAAACAGGGGAAAAATATTGGAAAAATCGGGGAAAAACATAGCAAATAACGGGAAAATTTATGAAATAAATTATTTTTAAATCGTAAATATTACGGTCTTTCAAAACATCTATAACCGAACTTGGTTCAGAATTATTTTTCGTTAGTAATAATTAATCTTTGCGTACAGATAAACATTAGATTTCCCCTTTATCTTAACATCTTCTCCTCACGTACAACAGTGGTCCACCTATCGTGCGAAGTATATCAATTTTTTTTTATATCTATGAATATTGGATGTATATATATACATAAACGGGTATAATAGACAATTTAATTTCAAATCGTTTTATCGGTATCATATAAAAATTAATGAAGTAGATGTCCTATTTGAAGGTTGTATGTACTAATTTAAGGTTTAAGGAGTAGTGTTAAAATAAAGCTTTAATGATTTCATATAATGGTTTGAAATAATACAAATCATGTTCACTTAAAATCCACTGAGAAAATCGCCGATTCGTGAGAAATGAATCACCCCGTATACTCCAACAATGACTGGCGTGTGTCACTGGTGTAAAAGTTTATTATAACAATCGTCGTTTATTATATTTTCGAGAAATGTGTATTGAGTGTAGCTAACAAACGACGGACTTTGACGTCGGATGGATTTCCGAAAGGCGAAAGGTAACGGCGTGTATATAACGCGAGAGACACTGCGAACGTAGTGGGAAATAGAAGGAGAAAATATGTCCGTATATATCCAAATAAGAACTGTTATATATGGGAAATTGTTTGCGCTTGGGATAGAAGAAAAATAGGACCTTCGTCCGATCTTCGCCCTTCCCTAGGTCGAAGTGGTTTGGTTAACTAATGGTCGGAATATAAAACGCACTCTCCGTCCGTGGTTTTATCATTGGAGGTGTGAGCTCAGTCCCTTCATTAGCTTTATGGACGGTCCAGTCCCTCGACTATTTGTTCCGTTTCACCTCCAGAACGCTGTAGCCAACCGCCGTTATCGACCCTTATCAATCATGAAGGTTTTATCGTTTCGTGCCCGTTCACCTACAGTCGCATGTTTGTTTTTTCTTCTAGATTTTATTTATCTTTGATTCTTTGGGATTTATTTTTAGACAAATGAAAAAAAACCCCCGACAGAATTCGGTCCAGCCATCACCATTCGCGCTTGGCTTGTCTCAAATTGAAAATGAAAACAGACATACCTTACCCCGGAAGCTTTAATTAAAGTCAACGCCCGGAACGCCGAGTGTTAGTTTGCACCGTCAAATGCTTTTAATTTTATTTAAAACATTTTTTTTTTTTGTTTAGTTTTTAATAATAGTTTTGGTCTTATATAATATTATGAGTTAAGCTTGGTTATACGTATAATTAAGTATAATAAAATCATTTTGTTATTTTGTATTTACCTTGCGCTGACGAAAAAAAAAATAACAATAATAATATCACATTAGATGCTGCCACCAAACGATTGTATATCTTCCACACAAAAAATTAACGTAGTCTTCCAAGTAAGAATACGAGTTTTAAATATAACAAGAAAACAATCGTAGTAATAGAACAATAATGCGCTTTTTGTCGTAAAATTTTATCGTTATACATTTATACCTACAACAATATCGGTTAATGGATTTAAACACCTTGTAGGGCATACAATAATGTTTAACGTGTCCTTTATATGAAGCTAAAACGAGTTAAATAAAATAAGTTACCTACATTGTAAATTGACCAAAGTAAAATAGTCCGTACAACAAAAATACCTTTGACTCTAGTACGTACAGGTAATACCCGAAAATAATAGCTTACACAAAATCAAAACGTATCGTTAATTTGATCGTGTTCCTACACATAAAAACTATCCGTTTGCAACAGATCTCCGTCACTAGAGTTGAATTTCTGCCCACTCTTTTTGCTTTATAGAATTATTTTTTTGTAATAACCGAATTCTATAATGTAATACTATACTATCTATATTAAAACTATGAAATATTACTTCCAAAAAAATGGTGAAATTTTAGCATACAAATTGAAGTGGAGTTGAAAATTAAAACTTGCATAAGGATCATTGTTGACACTAACATATATATATATATATATATATATATATATGTTATATGTTATATTATCACCTACATAGTATACAAAGTTCATCTACCAAGCTTTATTTATTTTGTAGGATGCTCAAAGTTTAACAGCTTTCTCCCGTGAAAACATATTGAAATTCAACCTAACTTTGATCACTTCATTTTGGCTATAAACAATTTATAGCTTAGGAAAAGTAATAATACTCACATCTCATTCAAATATTTCTTTACTTTACATATTATCGCAGTTTTATATATCTTCAATCAACATTAGTATAATTGTAGATAAAATTGGAAAACTACGACATTGGCTAGGTTTGGAGGAGATGCGCATTATATTGTACGAAAACGTGACATACTGTGATAAATGTTAATACTTATCTATTTTGTCATGATATCAACTACTCGTTGATGAACATTTAGTAACTATATGTTCGCTTTCGTTTTATGTACACACATGGTTTTTTACTTTTCAAATGTACTTAGTTGTAGGAATATTAATATACATGAATTTGGTAAGTTATAAAAAGTTTACTCGACATTGAGAATATTACTATTATAACTAACAAAAGTCAATACTGCTAACGGGTTGACCAGATACTAGAGACTGTTGTAGGCGGGTTGTTAGGAAGATATGATGTATATGATGATTTAGTTAATATAAACTTAATATAACGATAAAACATTTCAATCGAAAAAATGATTGTGAAGAAAATAATATTAGCCGTGTTTTTCCTTGTTGCCAAGTTAACTTAAAAATAAATTAATATAAATCTAAAAACAAAAAAAAAAGACATAGGAGGTTAACCGCTAATCATTTCTTTCGAGAAAGTATTGGAAATTTTAAAACATTTGTCAAATAAAGTACCTACCATTAGTAAAAAATCCGTATCTTTTATTTTTAACTTAAGCCAAGTTTATCAGTATTATAAGCACAACTATAGGAGAAGGGTATTGGGTCGCTGAAGTTTATCCAAGTTCTAATTCAGCATCCCCAGTCTTAAAAACAAAACACAACTTTAAAAAAGAGCTGTTATTTTTCTTTTAAGGTTTTTTTTTTATATCTAACATTTGTATAGAAAAGATTGACGGTTCATAGCTATTAAATGAAATGTAGTTCGTTACAGTTATATATACATTAATTAGCTACTACTTCTTAGTCTGTGATTTTTAGACACGGTTGGTTTAAGATAATCTATCCAATATATATTCCTAAAACTGTTGTTGTTACTTGTAATTCAACATATTTGTAAGAAAAACACTTGTTAAAATGTTTTCAAGTTATTACAAGTTGTTTTTCATCAATGCGTCGTCCAAAAAATTTGCTAAGGTAAGATCTATAATATGGAACAACATCGTTTTATAAATTTATCAATA